CCGCCATTAGCATGCGCCGGACATTCCCATTGTGGCTTGTGATCCGAAATCGTGACGAGTGAGACCACTGCCTACGTCATAAGCGAAAGCGATTCCCTTTTAACATTGAAATATTAACAAAAGACAGTTAGAACAAGAAAACTGAAACTGCAATTTAAATTTCTCAGTATTATAATATAAATTCGTAACTGTCATTGAATAGCTTACATATGAATAGGTAATGTAACTGAAATCCAAAAGACTGCTTTGTGATATAGACTTATTCTCGTGAAATTAATATTTCTTATACCTAAAACTAAAGCGATTGACAATAGAGTTACGTGTGGTTAAGATAGCTTTTAAAGCAGAAACAATGTAATATATTTCAATTCGGTGTGGTCAATTTGTTGATTAATTTGCTCTTACTCCAAATCGCTATCAGTTTACCTCTTGAGCGCTGGTAGCGACCGCGACAGGCCATGCGCTCGCGCACGAGGGCGGGGCCACCCCCTCTACCACAGTTTCGGTGCGATAAGTGTTCAATAGGCCACGCCGGTTATAGAAATAATGTTACATAATAATGTTTTCCTCCCAACAACATTTCCTGGTACAGCGGCGACCGTACGGTCTGGGCTGGAACCGATGGGATCTCATGGGATAACGGTATCGTTGATCCATATATTATCTAATTGATGTCGTATTGTAACTTAGGCTTGTAGCAGAAACTAATGGAATATCGTTTACTAAGTACCTATACTTTTGTTTTTGAACTTATTAGCTATTAAAATACCCTGTTTAATAACCATGTTTACTTACTATTTCTCATCTTATACCATTGAAAATGACGAAATACATTACTTTAGCATTTCGCTGTATATCCTTTGCTTTTTTCCCATTTCAGGGAAGGCAAAGGGAACTATGCCCATATAGCCTCCTAGTCTTTAGTTTTATTCATCTTCTTTTTTTTAAACATTAGAATGTCGGTGTGACGCATTCTAATGTTATTTTGAGTGTTTGGCACGAAATGTATCGAGTTGGCTTTATCGATAAGCTTCTGTGACGTAGTCAACACTACAATCAAGTTCTCACGTCCACTTCATCGAAATAGCGTATATTTTAAAGATTCCACTAATTCTTCAGTTGCGCATACGGTTGTTACACAAAATCACACCAATTTTTTTTCTTTATACAAACTATGAACGCATTTAAGAATAACTAAAATAAGACGCCATCCACATACGATAAAATCCCGCCAAAAACCCTGGTGTTTTTTAATTGCGTGGTTATTATGACAAGTACGAAGTATTTCTTTCTTTATATTTCTTTTGATAAATCACATTAGATGACTATTCATAAAAGTATGAAAACAGTTTATGCTCAGTTCATGAGCGCAACGTTGATTGATTAGCTCTTGAGTAATCTCGTACAGGAAGTTGTTTAAACAAGTTTATAAGTGTCCAAGTACACTTAAATAGTCTGTTTCTCCTTATATTAGTTGAGTTTAACTTTAACTTAACTTTGTACTGTTCGAGAAATATATATTCTTGCGTAATATACATATTTTTAGTGATACTTGAAGTTTTATCTAAATATTTTTTTGCAGGCTCTGTCACGGTAATTTAACTGTATTTTGGTTGTTAAAAAAATATTTATAGGATAAGTTTATATTTAATTTATAACCAAATAGATTATATAAAAATTAGAACATAACAAAAATTTATGAAAAGATGTTCAGTTTAGGAATTATATTACCTTTGTTGAGTGAAACTTAATATAAGTTCTTCGCGTAAGACTGGAAGCGCAAGAAAAAGGGAAATAGCGACACCTGCTTGCTTTTCTAACCAAAAAAGAGTTTAAATAGGGTATTTCGGAAACTATGGACGATGGGCTGGCAATCTGTCACTATTGTTTTTGGACAATGGCTTAGTTCCAAACAAAATGCCAAATGTAGCAACCGACATTAAGGCGTGGCTATGGGAGTGAGTTTTAAAGTTCTGTACTAATTGACAACCTCATTTACTACCCTTTAGTGTAGTATTAAATAAGAACATTATACCACCTTATTCCATAACGCTGACTAAAGTTAAACCAGACTTAATACTGATGCTGTCACTTTTGTTTGTTAATAAAAATACAGAGACAGCATTAGTTTAAACCAAAACTACCTTTAGCCCGCAATTTGGAATAAAGGGGTTTTAGGGTTATTACTTCTTCGGCTCTCCTGAAACTGCACATTTGCAACACCCAATCAATTATGACGATTAAATTTCAATCCTGAATCTTTATAAATACGCGATTCATCAAATGCAATGTTTATTTATGTTTTAAACGAGACGACATTCCCCATTTGGCAGGATAGTGATTTCTGAAAACATTATTTAAGATTTGAAAAATAACACTCCAAATTGTATCTTATATTATAGTCAATAAAGTTCATGAAGTGCGCAGAGTGTAGCAACTTTATAAGGGAACCGTTGGACACTGGTCGCGGCTAGAATGTCCTGCCGCGGGCGTTTCAATCAATTCCGACTTGTAACTCATTTGATTTATGGTTGAGTCTTATTTGTACGTAAGTGGAATGGAGATTCAGTCCAAATAAAGCCTGCATGTGGGCCAGGCTATTTGTGACCATATCTATTTCGTGTTAAAGTACGTATTTGTTTGGACTACCGACGGTCTGGAGTACCGGGACCAATTAGAATTCTTGCAATATCCCGTTTTTCTACGTGCATGGGCATGAGTTCAATACATTATGTTGATCTATTTGTCAATTACTGACAACTAGTTAGAGTTGAAGAAAGTTAACTATGTATTACATGCGGAGGTAATAATAAGGATGGTTCTTTACATAATAATCTTGATAAATTAACCACAGAGTTTTAGTAAGCAACACCTATTTTAAATAAATTCATCACTATTATAGTAAAAAAAAACGAGCGAGCCTTACAATAGTCGCGTATGATGTGTAACATTTGAAACCTCACCTTATATTAGTAAAAAAAGAAATAAAACCTACTACAAAAGGAATAAGCCATTTGAACATTATATTCTAAAATCAAATTTAATAGTGCGCGCTTTCGCGACTTCCTGTTACACACTTCCGTCCCATTTCACGAAATCACTCCCACAAATTGCAGGAAAGCGAGAGAAAAGATGTTACACATCAAAAAAGAAAAAATCTAGGATGAAAAAGTATATGATCTAAAATTATTTATAAACAAAACAGACTTTATTGTAAGTGCAAAAGATATTACACATATTTTCCACTGCAAAGTGCGTTAACATAGCAAAGGAGAGGCATTATTTGTACATTTTACGAGAGACGCAGATTCTACATGTTCACTTAAGTTAGTCGTAAAGTGTCAGGTCCATTTAGTTTTGACGATGTTACTTGCATTCGTGGTCTCGAAAGTCTGCGAAAGCCTATGCACTTGTTATTAGTAAAGCTTCAAAGCGTATTATTACAATGAAAAACATATTGCAAACCTTTGCAAACATATTGTCATTGTCTAATTCTAGTTTATCGTAATAAAACCCATGTTCTAGGTCTATAAAATAAGTGTTACTTTAAGATGATAAAACCGCAATTATACTTTAATAGCAAAGGAAATATAAAAAATGTATTTAGGTACTGCGTTGATGTCTTTTGTTAGTAGGATCGACATCCAATTATTATCGAAATATTTTACCTAATTGAATCGCTGTTAATCATATCACTTCATTTCCTTTAAGATTCTTTGGTTGTTATTTTTCAATAGATAAGTATATATAGGTCTATAACTTCCTTGGTATCTCTTCCTTACTGGTTTTGAGAAAAAATTGCACTCAAACGGTGCATTAATTTTTGAATAAAGAATATGCAAGCAGCGCGCAAGAATTTGTATTCAAAAACTTTTCAATAAAAGCTTTTCCAAGATTTGTTTTTATGAATGTCAGTTGGAAAAATATTTCCAACCAGCTTTGCTTTCTACGACAGTTATAATAGAATTTGGCAAGGTTTATTCGTGTAGCAATTATTTTTAATTTTTTCTGCGGGAATTTAAAGTATGATATATGCTGTTAAATATATAACTCATACTTTCAAATCAGTTCTGAATTCCAAATTTATAATGCTGTCTGACTCAATGAGTGCATTGCAAGCAATAGAAGGAAAACATAATGTTAAAAAATTTTACTACTTAATAAATGAATTGAGACATCTAATTCAATTATTGGCACATCTCAACATTATTGTTGAACTATGTTGGGTTCTGGGACACTCCTGCATATTAGGTAATGAGCTGGTAGATAAACTTGCCCGTTCAGCTCAAAATATCACTGCCGTTACAGACTATAAGGTACCAAAGATAATCAAATTAGACATTGCTCTACATTTATATTAAATTCGCAGCAACAAAAGCGAAAGTGTCATGCTGAGATTGTCCCTGTGCCCAGTACCAAAGCTTGGCTTGAAAAAATTACATACTCAAACACAAATATTATTACTAGTCTATGTAGACTTAGATTAGGCCATTGTAAATTTTCATCCCATCTGCATCGTCTTAGGTTAAGCTATTGCCTACTATGCAACTTGTAAATATTGTACCTATGATTATACTGATCTCCATCTTTTATTCCTTGATTGTAAGAAATTTATTTTTGAAAATTGATTGATTTATTGAAAAGTAATGAATTGCCAAAAAATGTATAGGATTTGCTCAAATTGGAAAACTTATAAAATGTAATTCATAGAATTTATATCTTTTATCTTATGTTAAAATAGGTTTTAAGTTTATCTTGTCAATCTATTATCTGTTAAATGTTCTTGTTTGTTTTCTGTGGGTGTAGTATTATAATCTAATCTTTAAAAAATTAAATAGTTTTAGCATTAGTCTAAGTTTTAGCTTATGGCCCTAGCAGCCAAAGCTATATTAAAAAAAAAAATGCAGAGAAATTGCTGCAACTTCCGTTTTCTTTTTGTTTTGTCAACAGCTTAAATTGAATATTTCTTAAATAGTAAGAGATTGTATTTTTGTACGCAGGTTTCACTGGCACACAGTGCGAAGTGGAGATAGATGAATGTGCCAACGACCCCTGCCTCAACGGAGGCGTGTGCCATGACATGATCAACGCATTTAGATGCACTTGTGTTATCGGGTAAGTAAAGTTTTATTGTTTGCTATGTTCACAAAATATCTGCCTTATACACTCCCTTGATAAATCTTTCTTTGTATGATATTTTAAAGGTATATATATATAAAGATATCGTTATTTTAACATGCTATGTTATTTCTGAAACTATCATAGAAGCTTCAAGTTGAATCTGAGAATGAATTTATTGAGATAAAGTTTGGAGCTCACTGAAAATGTATATTGACAAGAAAAAGTTGATTGCTTCATGTAAATCCAGAGCGTAAAACTGTGGGCCAAGCACGAACTTCGACAGATCCGTAATCGCCATCGTCAAATTTTCTATGGAAGGCGCTAGCTTGTTCTTACGTCCGGTAGGGGCGCTGTTTAATCTCCATAGAAACTTTGACGCTGCGATACGATCTGTCAGTGGTCATGATTGGGGTACTGAGCTTGTCGAATTGCGACCTTTTTGAACTTCTTCACCTCATTTGATGTTAAGTTTTGGTGTCATCCAGTTGCGAAGCGGAGATAAAATTCTGATGCACAGTGCAGGAAAACATACCGCTTTAGTCATTCTTACCTTGCCACGTAATATTGTTCATCATCATCAGCCTATTAATGTCCCCACTGCTGGGGTACAGGCCTTCCCTTGGGATGAATAGAGAGATTGGACCATGACCCACCACGCGGATTGGCGGGTGCTAACGACTGCAGATCCAGCCGGGACCAATGGCTTCCGAAGCACGGAGGAACTCGAGATAGAAGATTTTTGGTCATCCATCCAATGACAGACCACTGAGAAAGTTGCTTAACTTCAACGATCGCAGCCGAACGCGCTAACCACTTGCGCCATCGAGCTCGCCATTGTTTTATTATTTAGTATATAATTTAGATAATGTTTATATTGACGACCTGTGTGACTCAATTGGTATGTACACCGGTTTTCAAGGTGTCGCCCACTCAGAAATCCCGGGTTCGAATCCCCGAAGGGAAAATGTTTGTGCGATGATTATGGGCATTGGTACCTAAACATGGATGTTTATAATATGTGTTTCTAAATAAAAATACAATTATATAATGAATCAGTTTATGTATTCTATCCGTTACCCTAGTTACCAATAATCAACGCTAACCCCTCGTTTACACCAAAAAACTAGTCTTATACTAGTTTTACACAGAACTTGTAGAATACTTTTTGTGTCATTTTTTCATTTACACTGCAGAGACAATGATATCTTTACAAGTATAAATCACCATTTATTTCACATATTTTGTGTATCCAATAAGTTTTCATGCAAGTATTGTATACTACATGTATATGAGTGTGGAAAAAATTAAGACATTGTATATATTTTTTTATATACATGTATTATATCTTGGTGTGAAGAGACAAAGGGAGACAGTGCTTATTTTAGGGCTAGGCTGATTGGTGTGTGTGTGTGTGTGTAGGAAATATTTATATTGATTGTATTGACGTTGTAACAACAATAGATTTGTAAATGTTGTTACATTATACTTTTAATGTTGTAGAGTTTTTTTCGCTCGCTTTACTCTAAAAAAATATGTCCAATAACGAGTTGTAGGTAAAAAAAAATATACATCCAATTTGAATAAAGATATGTTGATTTCTGATTGGAATTCTGATTTGATTTATTTATTTATTGTCCAGGTTTACCGGTGCCCGGTGTCAGGTGAACATTGACGACTGCGCGTCCAGCCCCTGCCGGAATGGAGGTTCCTGCCACGATTCCATAGCTGGGTACACGTGCGAGTGTCCTCCTGGGTACACTGGTGAGTTTATTGATATTCCGACTGCTGGGGCACATGCTTGCCTTATGAACTGATTAGGATAACGGGACATGACCCATCACGAGGGCTAATGACTACAGATATAGCCGTCCAAAGAACGGAGGAGTTTGTGATAGTGTATTATTCTGGTCACCCATCCTGTAACAGGTCACTGCGAAAGTTGCTTAACTGAGATTGAACGCACTAACCACCGCGCTATCGAGGTCGCTCTCCAAAAGGCTCGGATGTTAACTGCCATCAATAGACACTTGTAGCGCCATATACCACTTGTCCGTGATTGGCTTTTATAGGAAGCCTTGTACATTACTGTTCTCACCTGATGTTAAGTAAGAGTGGAGTCCAATTGGGTAGATTTTACACGCTTGTAAAGTATATACGACAGTTTTAAGCTTTCCAGCTTTTATTTTTATTTTATTTGGAACAAAAAATTATGACATAATGATGTAATTGAATATATGCTAGTAATTGTTAAATATAAGTATGTATTACTAATTATATGCAACCAACAACATTGCTAAACAAATTAATATTAATTGGCATGCGTAAAAATGTGCCTGCAATTATTTAATTGGGTCATGTATCTACATTATAATAAATGTTTTTACATAATAATGACAAATCAATAATTGCATCTCCTAATTAACGTCGTTAATATAGGCATGTCTTGCGAGACGAACATCAACGACTGCCTATCAGCGCCGTGTCACCGCGGCGAGTGTATCGACGGAGATAACAGCTTCACCTGTAATTGTCACCCGGGATATACTGGCAGAGTGTGCCAGACGCAGATCAATGAATGCGAGTCCAACCCTTGTCAGTTTGGAGGTGAGTTCAATTTTTTGAAGTGAAACTTCTTAATGCACGCTTGACTTGGGGGTAAGCTGGTGAATGCGTCACGCGCTACGAAAAGTGAATTCCGGCCGGCGAGGCGAACGGGAGTTCAGTGGGGGATATAAGCAAGAGAAAGCGGTGCGCGCGCACATATTCTTTCTTCTTTCGTCTTTCTCTTATAGCTAGTAAATCAAATATGTATATGTATTATTGTACAAACATATGTACACATATATATACATACAGATGTAGCCAGGGCTTGTTTACCGGTTAATTTTCAAACCTAAATCAGTGTCAAGTACATTAGGAGCGTTTTATTTAGATTTGGCTCTACCTTAACCTTAAAAAACCGGTTTCCTAAAGAGCGAAATCAAATAGGTTTTGAATCAATTTAGCGGTTCTTAAAGGGTTTCCGTTCGCTCTTTCTGACGACATCGATAATAAATGAATAACTTGACTCACTAGACGCTAGCAAACGTGTCAATAAATACACCAATCTCTCTGCATTAACAAGTTGTGACTTGATTAGTTCAAACAACAAAACTTAAGCGATGCCGACGCGTGCTCGTGTCGCTCTGGATTAAACCGGTTTAATAAGGTTTTAGGTACCGCTTTCATTTCGGACGCGCTCCGAACGAAACCTTTACTAAAAACCGGTATTAACATTTATTTACCGGTATTTTCGAAACCGGTTTCAAGCCCTGGATGGAGCTAAAGAAGTTTCACTTCAGTCATGTGGTCATAAGCACACTCGTTTTTTTTAGGTTAAAACGGTGGCAAACACCATGGTCCCCATGCTTGCAATACCAAAACTATCGCTCGTGTTTACCCCAACCCCTTGGACCTTACCTTACGATCCGACAGAAACGCAACACCACCAAAACTAAGTGTTATTTTACTATGGTCATCTGTAAGGTGTTTGCTATACCCTACCTCTTGTCATTCATCAAGTAACAGAGCCAGTCCTCCACACAAGTTTGAGACAACAGCTCCACCTGTAGCTGATGGCAAAAATACAGTTTTTTAACTTTAACCGAGACTTTTGACAGTTTCCGATGTCTCCCATTGTTACATTTAATGTTGTTTTCTCAAGCTGAAAATTATGCCTATGTTTGTCAAACAAGTGGATGTCTTTTTTTAATAAATATTATAATGAAAATATTCTAAGATAACAATCTAATTACATAAATACTCTTTAAATATATATATACTAGAACAATAATACTAAAACTAAAAACCTTAAAAAATTAAATTAGTAACTAGTATACATTATTAAAAGGAGGCCTTTTAGGCAAGAATCCGAAGATACTGGCAGCGTTCCCCCTTTGAATAGCTAGACTAATTCTTTGTCCGAGGTAGCTGCCAGCTCTTCGGTCTCCTGTGATGTCGACTAACCTTTTTGTTATTTCCTTTCCTTTATGTTGTTTTGTAGTGTACATATTTATAAAATAAATCAGCTGCGGATACGTGCGGTCTCCGAAGTTATCACGAAAAATATGATACAAGTCAGGAAACAGAAAACCTCTATCTATTGTGGTTTCTACTGTTGAGCTGTTTAATTGATTAGATTGCAGTATATTTTTAATATATTATTGTTAATAGAGCGTTGACATTTTGCACCCGCTTTGCGGTACAACTTAAATCAACAAAATGCACACTGCTCTTATTTATCAAATGATACTCGTAATATATCAAGAGTGGATTCTTTTATTATCGCTATTACAAATTCGTAACAAAACTAAACAAACATTTGACTGTTACGTATCTATTTCATAATTAGTAACTACTTTATAAGCGGGAATGATTGTTTTCAAATATGAGGAAGGTGGAAAAAAGCTTTAAGCTCTATCAGCAGTTTGAAAACATGTTTGTCTGACAATAACATGGTGGCAGTGATATTCAAAGGAATCTTATTCATCCCTTCATTACACAATGGGCAAAAACCTTGAGAAAAAAAGAATACATTAAAAAAAAAACTACAATCGGTGGGATTGATAATATTTGGTAAGCAAAGAAAGTCTTATAAAACCAAAGATATTGTGAATGAAACAAGGTGCCCAGCGGCGAATCCAAACTAATATATCTGTAAGGTTTAGGATAGTTTTCAACTTTTCCTCTATTCCCAGTTCGGAAAATAATTAAAATCTGCTTCCCCAGGTCATTGCGAAGATCTAATTGATGGATACCAATGTCGTTGCAAGCCCGGTACATCGGGCAAAAACTGTGAGGTCAACGTGAATGAATGCTACTCCAATCCCTGCAGAAACGGAGCTACATGCATTGATGGGATCAACAGGTGAGATAAAATTACTAATATAAGTATGTTCTTAGATTTAGACATTAAGGTCTAAAGTTGACCGCTATGGATTATGCTTACAAAGTTACGTCTGTACTTGGATCAAGCATAGATGAAGACTCGTTGATCTTTCATATAGCATCCTCTAGTAGGATTTTAAAATGTATGACAAAATTCGAATACCCTGCTGCAATTATAACAAAGAAAATCAATGACTTATTCATTAATAGCATTTTAACGTATCCAGTTTTGTGTGTTTACAAGATCTACGAGTCTTTGACCACGTTGCTTTTGTTGTCAAGAGCAAAAATAGTTTCAAATAAAATTGATTCTAACACAATCTTTTCTCTTTCCTTTACACGCAGCAATAATTACTTCGAGTAAGTTTTTTCAAAATTGACTCGCATGTTCGAAGTTTGGCAGTAAATTGCATGGATAGAAATTCATTCCGAAGGAAACAACAAAATGTAGTCATTTCTGGAAATTCAGAAACTAAACTGTGTTGAATTGTGATGCTTTCTCAAAATTGCTGCTTTTATTAACCAAATTATTTTCAATACAAGGTAGTGATTTGAATTAGGTAGGTAATTTACATTTTTGCCAGGATTCCAATTTTCATATTTTAAGATTTTCAACCAAATATCACTAAACAATATATAAATATTACTGTCTACTGAGGTTGTTTCAAGTTCTGAAGTTCAAGCCTACCACAAGAAAATAACACTTTTTAAACTGCTCTGTCAAAACAAATCTAATAAGACAGTAAAGAATGTTAAGTGACAGAGTTTGCATTTGTAAGAATTTCTTTTCTCATCGTTGCCCAGAAGCCGAAGAGAAAGGAATCTGGACTAACTAATAACGAATAACAAACCAAACTTAAAATAGATTTTACGGGATCGACTAAATAATAGAGAATATCAATGGATTTCACACCTGTCAGGATCCATTGTCCCTTATAATTCCAATGTTCCAAGAATCCAAGAATACCAATCGATTTTACATCTGTCAGGATGCATTATCCCGTAATAGAACGTTCCAATAGTCCAGGAGCTAGGTTAGCTTCCACAGATTGACCGGCCCGTTTTAAACAGGTACACGTGCGAATGCATCCCCGGCTTCACGGGGCAGCACTGCGAGACCAACATCAACGAATGCCTGCCAAACCCTTGCGCCAACGGCGGGAAATGTATCGACAGAATCAACGGATTCCGATGCGAATGCCCTAGAGGATACTACGATGCGAGGTAACTTGGCTAGTGAAACATCTGTTTTAATACTAGCATAATACTGGAAAGCAGAACTTTTCCGTTCGAGTGTTAACAAACCTGCAGTGCAGATCTCGAGGTTTTCAAAGAGGATGTTGCAAGGTATGATTTATATTCTTTGGCGACTGCTGATATTTAGAGAGCTCCATCAGATGAGAAATTCTGCAGGATTATACGACGATATTAGGTAAAGTATCTAATTGGTCAATATTTCGGATTATCAAGGAATTTTGGATCTTCCAAAACATGAGGACGATTAGGTACCACACTTTAACCTATTTCTTATACAAGTGATTCTGGTTTGATTCTGCCAAGTGCATTTAATAAGATTTTCGGATGAATTCGCAAAACCGCTTCAAACTTCAATTGGCCGGACGCTTTGCATGATTCTAAAATTAGTGATTCTTTATGTTTAATGACCGTTTTCTTTGCAGGTGTCTCTCTGATGTAAACGAATGTGCCTCAAATCCATGCACCAACGGAGGCAGCTGTGAAGACGGAGTGAACCAGTTTATTTGCCATTGTCTGCCGGGTTACGGAGGTAATACTACATTAGATTTCCGGCATTTTTCTCGAATTCAGAGTATGATTCTCACTCAGATTTTTAAGTGGCTTACAATAGCTGATTTTTTGCATCGTTGCAAAACAATTTTCGGCATTTTCCCCCTATGCGTAGTATAAATTCAGACTTAGCTTTTTAAGCGGCAGAGTATGACTAATTTAATGGATTTTATGTTCAGGTCAACGTTGCGAAAGAGATATTGACGAATGCAGCTCCAATCCTTGCCAACATGGAGGCACTTGTCACGACAGGCTGAACGCTTACAAATGCGACTGCGTTCTTGGTTTCACTGGTAAGTCACTTGTTTAATATTAGATTGATGTGTACTCGTAGGAGGATATAGAATAGATTTGACCACCATTATTCTATCAATATTCACACAGCTGGGGCACAGGCCTTCCCTTTGAATAGAATAAAGAGACTGTACCCTCACACACTATATGGACTGGTAGGAGTTAATCACTCACGAATGCAGCCTGAACCAACAGTTTAATGTGCCTTCTGGAGCATGGAGGAAGTTGAGATGATATTTTTTGTTCAGCCATCCGTTTCCCTCCGTTGCGAATGTTGTTTAACTTCCACTATTGCAGGCCGAACCTGCTAACCACTTGCGCTTGCGCTCCTCAATCCATATACTAAATTTTATCATTGTCTATTGAAGAGAATGAAAAGTAGAGACAGTTATCAAATATAGTATTGAAAGAAGTAGCCAATATTCTACCCCGCATAGAGTGAGGCCATAGCCAAGGACCTTCTGTATATCCGGGATAACATTATCTAAGATAATATTTTTTTTCCGAAGGTGTGAACTGCGAGACTAACATTGACGACTGCGCTGGCAATCCTTGCCTTCACGGCGGTTCATGCATCGATCTCGTTAACGGCTACAGATGCGTGTGTGCACCGCCGCACTCTGGACGGAACTGCGAGAATACGCTAGACCCTTGTTCACCTAACCAGTGAGTTGAAGTTTTATTTTTCTTAATTGTTACCTGTCAAGGAGCGGGTGATGGATCCTTATAGATAGGTGCATTAAAGTCGGCTGTAAGATTTAACTTTCTTTTTGTGGGGATGCCTCTTGTGGCAAGACTTTTAGGGATACATCGTTAGCGATTTTATTTCTGCCAGGCGTAGGAGTGGGTGATAAATCCTCATCGATGAATAGCAGCATGTAGTGTTATGTTAGAATCTTACTTACTTTTTTTTCTAGGGAATGCTCTTGACTTCGAGACCTTTAAGGCTGCATCAATAGCGATGGAGATAGTTTCTTAACTAGGAAATGATGCAGTGTATTGAACGAACGCACTCGTGTATATGTAAATCAAAGCTAATTTAAAATCAGTAAACTAAAGCATATATGTATTAATGGTCTCTCATTATGTCGCATAATTTAGAAGATCTTAATTATAGAACGAAAAGGGCAACGAATTTTACGCTTGATCTGGTGAACTAACACTATTCTGCTGTAAGTCATATTGTCAGACCTACATGGGGTAACGAGATTTTAAGCAAAGGAAGTGTTTAGGCCAGCATGTCTTACAGTACAGCGGCATCTTATCATCAGGAAGGCCAGTGATTTTAATTTCTTACTCATTTAGACTAAATATAAAACGTATTCATAGATGTCGCCACGGTGGCCGTTGCGTCGCCGAAGCTTCGTACGCGGAGTTCCCCTGTTCAGAACAGTAGCCTCTTTTCATCAGACAGGCTATATCATTTGGTTTTTTAAATTCTCTGTACTAAGAATAAAACTTATCCGTAGATGTCGCCACGGTGGCCGTTGCATCGCCGAAGCTTCTTACGCGGAATTCACCTGCCAATGTCCCGTGGGATGGACGGGAGCTCTCTGCGAACGAGATGTGGACGAATGTGCCGTGACAGCGCCTTGCCATAACGAAGCGACCTGCATCAATACTGAAGGATCGTACGCCTGCCTTTGCGCGAGAGGATACGAGGGCAAAGACTGCGCTATCAATACGGATGACTGCGCTTCGTGTAAGTAGAAGTTAACAATTATGTGACGATAATTAAGTAGGATGGATGGCAGCTCTCTGCCAATGAGGCGTGGACGAATGTGCTGTGACAGCGCCTTGCCATAACGAGGTGTCCTGCATCAATACTGAAGGATCGTACGCCTGTCTTTGTGCGAGAGGATACGAGGGCAAAGACTGCGCCATCAATACGGATGACTGCGCTTCGTGTAAGTAAAAGTTAACAATTATTTGACGATAATAAAGTAGGATGGATGGCAGCTCTCCGTGTATAAGGCGTCGACGAATGTTCCGTGACAGCGATGATCATTTATGTGAGTGTTGGAAATATTTATTTACTTTTATTATTCATTACTAGCTGACCCAGTGAACTTAATATCGTCATAAAAATATGGGTGGTCGAAGGGTGTAAATTTAGAGCTGTATGTATTTTTAATGCCACATTATAAAAAATACACCAAAATCTTAAAAAATGTTAGGGGTGGACAACCCTTATCACTTAGGGGTATGAAAAATATATAGTAGCCGATTCTAAGACCTACTGAATATGCATATAAAGTTTCATAAAAATCGGTCAAGCTGTGTCGGAGGAGTATGGTAACTAACATTGTGACACGAGAATTTTATATATAAGATTATGCTTCTGCCCCTAAAGGTCAAACATCCACACACATCCACATTGCGATTTAATACTTTAGGTATTAGGAGCGTAACTATAGAATGAGGCAACTCGTTATTTTGACAATTAATTGATGTGTAAGATGAACCAGACAGTTCTTAAATTATGTTTTTAGACATTTTTTTTTGTTTTTGAATTTTTTTATGATACATCATAAAAAAATACATACAACCCAAAATTTTCACCCTTCTACCATTAACCCCTATTATTTTATGGCGGTACGAAGTTCGCTGGGACAGCTAGTGAACATATGTATAATATTTGCAAAAAACACTTATTAACGATCTGCCCCACAGTTCCCTGCCAGAACGGCGCGACTTGCCTGGACAGTATCGGCGACTATAACTGCGTGTGCGCAAGTGGCTTCGCCGGCAAACACTGCGAAGTCGACATCGACGAGTGCCAGTCCAGACCTTGTATGAACGGCGCCACTTGCAACCAGGTGAGAAAACAATAAAAACACTGGCATAAATACCTCATAAATAAGAGACAATAGTAATCATTCATCATCATCATCAGCCTATTAATGTCCCCGCTGCTGGGGCACAGGCTTTCCCTATGGTTGGAATAGAGAGATTGGGCTATGACTCACCACGCGGGTCCAGTGTGGATTGGGTGCCAACGACTGCAGATGCAGCTGGGATCAACGGCTTAACGTGCCTTCCGAAGCACTGAGGAATTCGTGATACAAGTTTTTGGTCACCCATCCAATGGACCGACCACTGCGAAAGTTGCTTAACTTCAACGATCGCAGACGAATGCTCTAACCACCCGCGCCATCGAGCTCTTCTCTATGTGCATCGTCTTATGTTGGGTTATTGAAGAAAAGAAGTTTCACTTCACATGTGTGGTCCGTGCACATGTTTATTTTTTTCAAGAAAAACATCAATGCGTACGTTACTGTACTCAATGGAGCGTTTTCTTTATCACACAATCGCTTGCATTTAAGTGTGTTATAACTATTTATTGATAGTTTATTTCTTTATTTTTCTTACATCTAAGTTATCATTAGTAAACTAACTATTTTTTCTCCTATAGTACGTGGCGTCATACACGTGCACTTGCCCGCTCGGCTTCTCGGGCATGAACTGCCAGACCAACGATCAGGACTGCACCGACTCCAGTTGTATGAACGGTGGCACTTGTATCGACGGAATTAACTCTTATAACTGTTCCTGTCCGCCTGGGTGAGTTATCTATCATAATTATGAACTACTAGCTGTGCCCCGCGGTTTATAAGGGATGTTTTCCCACAGTAAAACGTAGCCTATGTGTTAATCCAGGGTGTCAGCTAAGTGTATACCAAATTTTATTAAAATCGCTCCAGCCGTTTAGACGTGAAGATGTAACAAACATACACACTCACAAACTTTCGTCTTTATAATATTAGCCTGATTCTAGGAGTTTCTTATGGTTACCCTATTTATATGCAGCCGATTCGCGTGGCAACTATACTCTATTCAACTTCCTCTGAGACAAAAAGGAAAACAAAGAAACCAATGTCTCTAAAAGTTTTTTTTGAGAGAGTGATGGCCAGTATAATCAGGCTGATTACAGAATTTTACATTCCAATTATTAAATCACTAATCTTCAATTTAGTAGTATTATAACGCCTTCAAAGTCTGGGAATAGCTACTGTTTTAAGTCTATAAATGTAACTTTTTTAAATTGTGATTTTATATGAGTATAAAATTAAATATGGAAATCCCTTCGTATGGTTTGTTCACCTTTTGTCTCAGAGGAAGTTAAATAGAATTTAGAGAGACATGGCGCATAAAATAGGTAATGCAATCATGTAAACTGGTTGGTTGCATTGCCGTCGACGCTTGCGCTGCCTTTGATCTCCAAAAGGCGATTCAGTGCGAACATCAAAGTCTGTAACTTGTGCCTACCTACAAAATAAATTAATTTATTGTAATATGTCTGCTTTGCTATAAATAACATACCAATCATCCTAATAATATTAAGATTTTAGTACCTACGTCCATCTATAATATCCCAAGTGCAGTGAAAGAAAAAACACCTTGCTACCTTCGGCGATGCGATATCTAATCACTGGAGATTAATTTAATAGCTGAATATAATGCATTTCCAAAAGAACCTCTTACTTTTTAGCGAATATCGCTAGTGCTTGATTTGATATAGAGATCAAACCACCAATAATGTTCTTTGCCTGTAATACATTTTTTCATTTAGATTAAATATGCATGAATTCCAATCTTCAGTTTTGGTGATCTGTAACTAAATACTTCGGTGATAAACAGCTCCATTGTAACGTTGTGTTAATTCTTGCTTTAATTTGACCGTTTATTCTTATTTTCTCAGGTACACCGGCTCCAATTGCCAGTTCCGTATAAACATGTGCGACAGCTCTCCTTGTATAAACGGCGCCACTTGCCACGACCATATCACTTATTACACCTGCCACTGCCCCTACGGATACACCGGGAAACACTGCGATGGTTACGTCGATTGGTAAGCTTATACTGGGTTTACTTAAAGTATTTCCTCAAGTTGGACTCTGCCTGATCTTTTTATGTGTTCATTACTTTGTATCGTATTTCATAGCTTCCTTGAATACTTACTTTATTTTGTATTCTTATATTCATCATCATCATCAGCCTATTAATGTCCCCACTGCTGGGGCACAGGCCTTCCCTATGGATGGAATAGGGAGATTGGGCCATGACCCACCACGCGGGCCCAGTGCGGATGGGTGGGTGCTAACGACTGCAAATGCAGCCGGGACCAACGGCTTAACTTGCCTTCCGAAGCACGAAGGAGCTCGAGATAGTAAATTTTTGGTCACCCATCCAATGACCGACCACTGCGAAAGTTGCTTAACTTCAACTATCGCAGCTGAACGCGCTAGCCACCTGCGCTATACGTTTATTTATTTATTTTTACAATGCACTAGCTCACTGTTTCTTCTATTCTTATGGTATCATTTAATTTAGCCGAAGGTTGCCTGGTAGAGATTGCTACCTTAGCAATAAAGCCGCCTTTTGTGTTTGCGTTCCTGTGTTTATGTATTAGACCTTAATGCGTTCAGAAAAAAGGTTGGAAGTTTGGGCATTCATGGAATGAATTTCGACTTGATTCATTTTTGATTTTGGTTTTATCCTTCAGATAAGTACAAATCCTTAACACAGGAAACGAAAATGCTAAGACAATTTTTTTCGCTCCACACCATAAACTTTCAGCAGCTCTGTGTGAACATATGTTTTTTTGATAATTACACTTTTTGCGGAAATAAATTTCCTTTATGTAACAGATATTTACAGAAACATGACTTCATCATTTGTGTCTATAATGCTGTGGTAGCCGCTTACTATCACGCAAGCAAAACATAAACTTATTTACAACTCTCGTGAAGTGAAAACCCATTCTTGATTATTTTTCCCACAGGTGCGAAGGCAATCCGTGCGAGAATGGAGCGACTTGTTCCCAAAAGGGACCCCAGTACACTTGCACGTGCGCACCAGGGTGGTCCGGAAAGCTGTGCGATGTTGAAATGGTGTCTTGTAAGGACGCATCCATACGGAAAGGTATGATAATAATTCTACTAATTAAATTAACACTTTCATATTATGGAAGAGTATCTCTTTCTTGCAATTAGTTCTGAAACTGAAGTTCACCACATTGTCTTGTTCTGTTTTCATGGATGCTTATAGTTTACCAAGTTTTGTAACTGTGTCTAGGCAAATATATTACAGAAATAGTGATGTAATTATTTTTTAAATTATCCATCTATAAAGCGAACTAAATTAATCGAATTTTAGTACTCATTGTCCGTTTCTTTCCAGGTGTCAAATTAAAACAGCTTTGCAATAACGGCACATGCGACGACATCGGCAACTCGCATCGTTGCCGCTGTCTAGACGGCTACACCGGCTCGTACTGCCAGAAAGAGATAAACGAATGCGACTCAGCTCCGTGCCAACACGGCGCCGTTTGCAAAGACCTCGTCGGCACTTACCAATGCCAATGCGCCAAAGGTTTCCAAGGCCAGAACTGCGAACTTAACGTGAACGACTGTTTGCCGAATCCGTGTCAGAACGGAGGAACGTGCCACGATCTCATCAACAACTTCTCTTGTTCCTGCCCGTTCGGAACCTTAGGCAAGATATGCGAAATCAATGTGAACGATTGTAAACAAGATGCTTGCCACAACAACGGGACTTGTATCGATAAAGTAGGAGGATTCGAATGCAAATGTCCACCAGGTTTTGTCGGCCCGAGATGCGAAGGCGATATAAACGAATGCCTGTCGAATCCTTGCTCATCGCCGGGAACTCAGGACTGCGTGCAGTTAGTAAACGATTACCACTGCAACTGCAAACCGGGATACATGGGAAGACATTGCGATGCTAAAGTAAACTTCTGTGCGAACTCACCGTGCCAGAACGGAGGCATCTGCACAGCTATTCAGGGGGGTCACGAATGCCTTTGCAACGACGGTTTCTATGGCAAGAACTGTGAATATTCTGGATACGCTTGCGACTCGAATCCATGTCAAAATGGTGGCTATTGTCGAACAGGTGACAACGGCGGCTACGTCTGCGAATGCAATATCGGGTTATCGGGAATCAACTGCGAAATAGATTCCATGAACGAATGCCTCAGTGGCCCCTGTAAGCATCCAGAAGCGAGATGCATTGATAAACCTGGCGATTATTTGTGCTACTGCCCGCGACAATGGACAGGCAAGAACTGTGATATCCATGACCCACATTCCAGAGGTGGTTACGGGAGCCCTATTACCGGGGTGTATAACAGCAAAAACCCAACGATCAGTCTACAAGAACTCGACTTGGACTTCCAAAGGGAACAATGTGTAAAACTGGGATGCAAAGAAAAGCAAGGAGACCATCGTTGCAATGAGGAGTGCAATACTTTCGCCTGCGAGTTCGATGGCAACGACTGCTCTTTGGGTATCAACCCCTGGGCAAACTGTACGGCACCGATAAAATGTTGGGAGGTGTTCATGAACGGTGAATGTAACGAAGTGTGCAACACGCAAGCTTGCTTGTTCGACGGGAGAGATTGCGAGAAATCGTTGCAGCGCTGTAACCCGATTTACGACGCTTATTGCCAGAAACACTATGCCAACGGACATTGTGATTACGGCTGCAACAACGCTGAATGTAACTGGGACGGGTTGGATTGTGAAAACGAGCCACCGGAACTAGCCGAAGGTGTGATGTCGGTGATTCTCTTGATGGACATAAGAACATTCAAAGAAAACTCAGTAGCTTTCTTGCGAGACTTAGGCCACCAGCTGCGAACTACCATCCTCATAAAAAAGGACCATCTTGGCAACGACATGGTCTACCCTTGGAAGGGATCTACCGATGTCGGTTTGCAAGACACAGAGTTTGGTAAAAAGCACCATATCGTGTTCACTGAGCGAGGCCAAAGCGGAGTCCAAGTGTATTTGGAAATCGACAACAGGAAATGCACGACCACCTCTGGCTCGGAATGTTTCTTCTCCGCGCGTGAAGCGGCAGAGTTCTTAGCAGCTACTGCTTCAAAACATTCGCTATCGCCAGACTTTCCGATATACCAAGTAAAAGGCGTGAACACCCCAACCGGAGGAGAGGATATCCAGACCAATTCTAAATATGTTTTCATTGGTGTGATATTAGTTTTGCTCGCCGGCTTGCTTATAGGAGTGCTAGTGACAGCTCAAAGGAAACGCGCGGCGGGTATAACGTGGTTCCCTGAAGGTTTCGCGAGGAGTAACTCTTCCTCAAGACGCAGGTCGAGAAGACGCGGCCCTGATGGACAGGAGATGAGGAACTTGAATAAAGGCTCTATTGGTTGTATAGATGTGGACATAAATGGAGGTCATATGGGTCCACCGCATTGGTCTGACGATGATGATGACGGATCAGCACCTCCTAGAGCGAAGAGAGCCAGGGGCCCAGGTGATGCAAATGGTGCCCCAGGAGGTTATGCTTCGGACCACACAGCGATCACTGATTATGAAGAAGCCACACATGATTCGAGAGTATGGACGCAACAGCACTTAGAAGCGGCTGATATTCGAGATATCAGAGTGCCGCCGAGCATGATGACACCACCAGCTATTGTAAGTAACTTTTATTTAAATGACCTTATTTTTCTTACTGCAAAATGTTGAGGCATATTTTTTTATTATGATAGATAGTGATCATATAGCGTTATGAGTTATATTAAAACAATTTATGGATCAACCCTGTTTAAAGAATGTGTTAATGGTTAAAATAAAAACTTCTTTGTTCCTTTTACGAATAAACAAAATAAAATTTTCAATTTTATTTCATCTTGTTAGCTACTCGGTTTTAAACCTGGTCAATGTTTGTGAGGTTGTCAGATATTAACAAAAATATCTTTTAGCGTATTCTGGCATGATATTACATATATTATTCTTGTCTATTCAGCACGACGGCCACGTAGACGTAGATGCTCGAGGGCCCCTCGGCATGACGCCTCTTATGGTGGCAGCTGTAAGGGGTGGAGGATTGGACACAGGATCTGATGCTGAAGATGAACAGACGGCTCACGTCATATCCGAACTGGTCGCTCAAGGGGCGCAGCTCAACGCTGCCATGGACAAGACTGGGGAGACTAGTCTGCATCTCGCTGCTAGGTGAGTTAGAACTTATATCATTTGTTCGTCATGACGCCTCTAATACGTCACGACACGAGAAATTTGCTACACAGTTTACTTATTCCCAAGACAAACAAAAAAACGACGGGTTGCACTCCGGGAGTGCCGGCAGAAGTGAAAACTTGAATATTAACGTTGTGCATTTTTGATATTTTGGAATGGTAGTAGTTGGTTTAGGGAATAATTTTGCACGAATTGCTTTAATTGTCAGTATGAAAGTACTATCTTGTATGTGGTAGAATACAATATTTATTAATTGCGCTATCGTACACAAACATGACAATTTATATTACATTAAAAATGTTTATCTCTGAGAAAAATCAACTTACATGAATCACATTTAAGCGCACTTAGCGACATCTATTGTAGAGAAATCAACTTACATGAATCACATTTAAGCGCACCTAGCGACATCTATTGTAAAAAAATGCATTTTCTTCGCAATAAAGCTGCCACATGGACGTCCTTATTATACGGTAAAATAAAATAATACTATGTTTCGTCCAATATATTGAAAGTCAACAACCTTTCCAATTTTATTGTGTGTCATGATGCGATCAGCCCACGTGTTTAACCTGACGCGAGTTTAACATTTTTTACCCATACCAAAAAAGTGTACAACGCTGCTAAAGAAGTTTTCACTTCAAAAATTGTACTTATATAAAATTAGTTATTTCAATTTGATATAAGCTAATTTGTCATTAAAGCTCAATAGTTTTACTTTTGTCCTCTAGCAGTTCTTATTTCTACAAAGTAAAGCTGGAATTAACATTAAACTGCATTTATCAAGCTGACCATTTTCTGGTCTGGATCTGATACCTGGAACGACTAAGATTTGTACTTAAACATTTTCTTCAATATTTACTCTTAGATACGCCCGTGCGGATGCTGCCAAACGTCTACTAGACGCTGGAGCAGACGCCAACTCTCAGGACAATACTGGCCGCACGCCGCTTCATGCTGCCGTCGCCGCCGATGCTATGGGAGTGTTCCAGATCCTGCTTAGAAATAGAGCCACCAACCTCAATGCTAGAATGCATGATGGAACGACGCCACTTATTCTGGCAGCTAGGTAAGAACATAAGAACATCTTGGTGAATTAGAACATTTTATTAGACGCTGGTGCAGTCAGCAAATCTTAGAACAATACCGGCTTCATTGAACACTCAGTCCAATAGTGGTCGCACGCCGCTTCACGCCGATGATATGGGAGTGTGCCACATTCTGCTTAGAAACAGAGCTAGCAACCTTAATGCTATGATGCATGATGGGACTACGCCACTTATTCTGGCAGCTAAATAAGAGCATAGGAACAACTAGGTGAAAAAGAGCATTTTTACCAGCGATTTTTATCAGATAGCTATGGGCATACTATTACAGCAATGTGGTTTTCAAATGAAGCTAAGGAAATAGAGATGGAACAACAGCACTTATACTTAATTTGCCATTGTGATCTTATGTGGAAACCGTTACATGTATACAAGTTTTCCGCTGTAACCCTGTCTTATTGTTAAATTAACTAACTCACTCTCTTTATTCCCATCCAGGTTAGCCATAGAAGGCATGGTGGAAGACTTGATCAACGCAGACGCGGATATAAACGCCGCAGACAACAGCGGCAAGACGGCGTTACATTGGGCCGCGGCCGTCAACAATGTGGACGCTGTAAATGTGCTGCTTATGCACGGGGCTAATAGAGATGCACAGGATGACAAGGTATTACCACTAGTCATATTTTTTTTTATAGTACGACAAAACTATGGAATATATTGTCACCATCAGTTTTTCCCGACCCGATCCACAATATGATCCAAAAACCTACAAAAAAGAGCGTATTCCTTTAAAGACCGGCATCGCATTTGTGATAGCCCTGGTGTTGCAGGTGTCTGTGAGCATCGGTGATAGATAACTTACCATCGGGTAAGCCAAGTACTCTGCTCGTATCCCCTATAATATAAGAAAAAATGTAGAAGTTCAGTGAATAATTTAGCTTCACTTCATGTTTAGTATAAGTGAGTCTTGGTGAATGATTTGACTTCTCTTAATGTTAAGTGTAAGTGAAGTCTAAATGGGAAAATAGATAATGCGATGAATGTAAGTGCCGCAACATTCATTCTCACCTTTGCAGCCTAAACTTGATTGTCCTATCGGTTGAACTAAGACGACAGGACAAACACAACGCTATGTTATTTGATTGCGATCTTCTGTGAGATGGTCATGTTACTTTCTTGTATTGGTTCATTGGTATTTCCTTAGCACTTTCGACAAACGAAAACATTGATTGGACGTAAGCTGTTGATCCAATCACTATCTGTGCATCAAACGCTTACTATCTGCTAGTGTATAATAACTGTGGCATTCCATAATTTTTGAAATATTTACCGCTTGTTTGGAACACTAGATGTGATAATATTGACAATATCAAATTTATTTCCAATGCCTTTCCCACAGGACGAGACTCCGCTATTCCTAGGCGCTCGAGAAGGCTCATACGGTGCTTGTCGAGCACTTCTAGACGCGATGGCGAACAGAGAAATAACAGACCACATGGACCGGCTACCCAGGGACGTGGCCCAAGAGAGGATGCACGACGATATCGTGAGGCTGCTGGATGAGCACTGTCCTCGACCACCGCCGCAGCATCATCATCTTATGAGTAAGTTGCTCATGTGACAGTTCTAGCAGTCAGAGACAAGGATAGTGTTTGGATCACGGACCATATGGACCGGCTATACAGAGAGGGTGCACGACGATATCGTGAGGCTGCTGGATGAGCACTGTCCTCGACCACTGCCGCAGCATCACTATCTTATGAGTAAGTTGTTTTATATAAGTTCCAGGTGTAGCAAGGGGAAGGACTTCCTTAGAGCTAACTGTATCTGCTGGGGTCTAGGTGTTCTTCGTCGCTCTAGCTATGAATCGTTGGAACTTCTACTGAATGGCTCGACTTTTGGAAGCGTGATTCATGAATTCCTGATCCCCAAAATCTTGTTGCAATGTTTCCATATTTATATGGACTGGCTACCCAGGGACGTGGCTCAAGAGAGGATGCATGACAATATTGTAGGAAAGGTCGACCACCGCCGCAGCATCACCATCTTATGAATAAGTTTTTATTAGTTTCAGCTGATGGTGAAAAGTTACTAAGTTAGAGCTTTCTTGGAGGTAGATGTGTCTGCTGAAGGATCGACTACAACTTGTGTACTTCTAATATGGCTATAAAAAATTGAAAACTTGATTCAGGAATTCCTGATGCTTAAAATATTGTTGCAGTGTTTTAAATAAGGGGAATTAAAATATGTAAATATTGTAGGTACTTCTTGGTGATTTCACAATATGTAGCGAGCAATATTGACTCGTTCTCAATAGAGATCGTTGAGCTTATAAACTAACTATAGGGAAACCAAAAGCGAAAGCACTATAGTGAGTGTTTTGATCGAGCACAAAAAATTGGTGTCTCAATCACTATGCCGTGCCCTAAGACAGGTCTCTTGGAACAACTTTTGTCTACATTCTTTTGCTTTCATCTCTGAGTCTAGAAATTATCAATTATTTAATCTCTGAACACTTAAAGATAATTATTTTTATAGTATCTATATCATCATTTCTTCTCCTCGCAGCATCACCGAACCCTCACCCGCAGCTGATCAGCCAGCCCACTGTCATCAGCGCCACAGCGGCCAAGGGAAAACCCAAGAAGCCGCGCGCCAAAGCCGGCCCCGACAGCCCCCAGGACCAAGCCTACGACAACAACAACTTGCAGCATACGCAGATCAGACGGTGAGTTTACTTTATGATGGGCTAGTTGACTCATGTCAAATTGCACTATACAAATGTTTATTTCTTATAATTTTTGGTATGAGGAACCTAAATACATCGATTTCACTTCATAAAATTAGAAGATGACTGTACTAATTTAATTTGAAAAATAGTTTTTTAGTCTAAGTTTTTTAAAAAATTAAAACGCTGTCCACCATGATTGTGACGTCAACATAATAGCAAAACAACTAAACGTCATTGTCATGTTACTGTGGTTTCTTTCGTCCGACTAAAATATATCTAAAAACTCTTATACCTTGAAGAAAAGTTACCGTTTATTGGTTTTCTTAACTAAATTAATGCTAGACGCCTGATTTGTGAAAGCAGAAACGACAAAACTCTTTGACTTAGCAGGCACATTCATAACCTTAAAAATTTAAACCACTACATTTCTGGAGTTTTTAACGATGTGTTTCTTAATTCTCGTATAATACCAAGGGCGGATCCAGGGGGGGGGGGGGTCATGGAGGTCATGATCACCCCCTGGGCTGGGTCCATTTGTACCCACTGTGACTTGACCACGACTATATGACCCCCCCTGGCGCCAAAGCTGGATCCGCACTTGTATAATACAATCATGATAATTACTATATTTATCATGAAATCTATTAGAAATCGTGGTTTTAAAATGTAAATTCACATAGGTTATATCCTACGTGCTTACGAGTGTTTGTTTACTATTGTTCCCGTCATACCATGAAAAATCTATTTTAAAATTAAAGTTTTGTAGCTTTCTAGGTAAAAAAAATACAATACATTTTTTTTTCGGTCTAATTGAACAATTATTAACCATATAAAACATATTTCCAAAAAGTGTCAACTAGCCTGTTAGGTATAGACAAGCAATTGGCTTTATGATCATTGCCACGGCTTCTAAAGATAAACCAAAGAAACCGCGCCAAGGCCGGCCCCGACTTGCAGCATACGATATTAGACGATGAACTGGCCGATTAGATGATGAGTTGGAGCCAGCGATTGGCCAAATAAGAGTGCTGAGGACGGAATTGGCTTGCTTGTTTAGAAAATACCTCTTCATTCTAGCCGTAAAAAGAATAGAAAAGGGCACAATAAATTTGGAAGCGAAGCATTTTTTCGGAAAGGTAGAATCTGGACGACATAAGGGTAGAGACGCTTACGGCTCCTTGTGGTCTCGTGACTTGTACTAAGTTTGGGTTTCCCTCCTTTTTGATCGTCCGTTTCCTAATACTTAGGTTCCATGTATATATTGTCCTGCTGTATCGCAATGTATGTAGTTAATCCATCGCGGAGACTTTGGCACTTTAGACGAAGCCGATGTGCCGCAGAGCGAAGTACCACTCTGCTGTCGGTAAACCTGCGCGTATTAAAAGATAAAGAAGTTTTAGTTACTTTCCGTATTTTTTTGTCAAAGCCATGATTATATATTTTGTCAAATTTTAATATTTATTTGTAATTTATGCAGGAAACCTAGTGTAAAAAAGAATAACAAGAAGGTTGCGCAAGAGGTGCCACAGAGCGTGGAGAGCCTCGGCTGCAGCCTTAGTCCAGTTGAATCGCCGCTGCAAAATTTACAGGTAACACCAGCACTGAAACTTTTTACAAGTGTTTACACAATGTATTATTAAAGTATTATTTATCTGCTTAAGATTTTAACTTTTTTAAACCTTAAAACCAAAACTATGCTAGGGATTCCAAAGAGTCTGCATCCGAGAAACTTGCTTTTTTTGCAATATATAATCTGCTCATTAGTAGCGTTGAGTCTTGTACGATGGTACAAAAGCCTTCAGTGCGAGTTTGATTGGTACTTAGCTGGATTTATTACGACACATCTGGAAAGTCCACAGACACTATTTTAGATGCACAAAGAGATTAAATAAACTGCTGAGCATCTTAACGTGGCTAAAGCCATTTCAATAGGCACCAAGTATTCAGTTGCGAACACCACTCCGAAGAGTAAAGCTGGTCTATCATCAGCTCACTATAAATAAAATTCCAAGAATAAAAATCTATTTAATTACCTCATTTTTATACTAACGCGGCGAAGTGTTTCCAGGACTTGCCGTCGCCGTACGACGCGACGTCGCTGTACTCGAACACGATGGCGCAGTTCGCCGGCATGGAGCAGCTCGTGCAGCACAAGCAGCCGCCCAGCTATGAAGACTGCGTCAAGGTATTATTATGCCTTTATAACAAACCCAACTCAGATTAGGTCAGCATTTATTCTGGCTAGGAATTCATTTACTGAGTGCAGCACAAGCAGCCGCCCAGCTATGAAGACTGCGTCAATGTATTATTATGCCTTTATATCAAAACCAACCTCAGAAGCATTTATTCTGGCTAGTAATTCATTTACTAAGTGGAGTACAAGCGGCCGCCCAGCTATGAGGACTGCGTCAAGGTATTATTAAGCCTTATAACAAACCCAAACGTCAGAAGCATTTATTTTGGCTAGGAATTCATTTACTAAGTGCAATACAAGCAGCGGCCCGGCTATGAGGATTACCTCAAGGTTTAGTATTGTCTTTGTATCAAACCCAAACTCAGAAGCATTTATTCTGGCTAGGAGTTCATTTACTAAGTACAGTACAAGCAGCCGCCCAGCTATGAGGACTGTGTCAAGGTATTATTATGCCTTTATATCAAAACCAACTCGGAAGCATTTATTCTGGCTAGGAATTCATTAACTAAGTGGAGTACAAGCGGCTTCCAGCTATGAGGACTGTGGCAAGGTATTATTATGCCTTTATATCAAAACCAACTCGGAAGCATTTATTCTGGCCAGGAATTCATTAACTAAGTGGAGTACAAGCGGCTTCCAGCTATGAGGACTATGGCAAGGTATTATTATGCCTTTATATCAACAACTCGGAAGCATTGATTCTGGCCAGGAATTCATTTACTAAGTGGAGTACAAGCGGCTTCCAGCTATGAGGACTGTGGCAAGGTATTATTATGCCTTTATATCAAAACCAACTCGGAAGCATTGATTCTGGCCAGGAATTCATTAACTAAGTGGAGTACAAGCGGCTTCCAGCTATGAGGACTGTGGCAAGGTATTATTATGCCTTTATAACAAACCCAACTCAGAAGCATTTATTCTGGCCAGGAATTCATTTACTAAGTGCAAGCAGCCGCCCAGCTATGAGGACTGCGTCAAGGTATTATTAAGCCTTATAACAAACCCAAACGTCAAAAGCATTTATTTTGACTAGGAATTCATTTACTAAGTGCATGCAGTACAAGCAGCTGTCCAGCTATAAGGACTGTGTCAAGGTATAGTTTTGTCTTAATATCAAACCCAAACTCAATTCCGGCTAGGAATCCATTTACTAAGTGCACTACAAGCAGCCGCCCAGCTATGAGGACTGCGTCAAGGTATTATTATGCCTTATAACAAACCCAACCTCGGAAGCATTTATTCTGACTAGGAATTCATTTACTTAGTGCAGCACAAGCAGCCGCCCAGCTATAAGGACTGCGTCAAGGTGTTATTATGCCTTTATTTCCAAACTAACCTCGAAAGAATTTATTCTGGCTAGGAATTCATTTATTAAGTAGAGTACAAGCGGCTTCCAGCTATGAGGACTGTGTCAAGGTATTATTATGCCTTTATAACAAACCCAAACTCAGAAGCATTTATTCTGGCCAGGAATTCATTTACTAAGTGCAGTACAAGCAGCCGTCCAGCTATGAGGACTGTGTCAAGGTATAGTTTTGTCTTAATATCAAACCCAAACTCATAAGCATTTATTCTGGCTAGGACTTCATTGACTAAGTGCAGTTCAAGCAGCCGCCCAGCTATGAAGCCTGCTTTAAGGTATTGTAAGCTGGAGTTTTCGTCTATTCAGGTTGATGTTGTACACGCAAAAAGTTAAGCAACTTTCACAACGGCCCGTTATAACATCTCGAGCTCTTCCGTGCTTCGGAAGGCACGTTTTCCCGTTGGTCATGACTGAGTTTGCAATCGCTCGCATATACCCATTCATCCTGGGCCTGCGTGATGAGTTGTCGTCCACTCTTCCTATTCCATCGATAGGTTTGGCCTTAGCCCCATCAGTGAGGTCATTAACAGGCTGATAATTTTGATGATGATAATGAATTGATTATTTTTGAGGACCTCCGTGGCCGAGTGGTTTGTACGCCGGATTTCACGGTGACGCCTACTCGAGGGATCGAATCGAATGTTTGTGTGATGAACACGAGCATTTGTAGTCATGTTTGTTAAATATGTATTTTTATATTTTAAATATACTTATGTATGTATTCTATCCGTTACCCTAGTATCCCATAACACAAGCCATAACAGTGCTTACTTTGAGACTAGGCTAATTGGTGTGAGTGTTGGAAATATTTATCTAATAGATATGTAAAATGCTCGTGTCACGGTGTGCGTAATTGAACTACTACGAAACGGCTACACCGATTTTCGTGAAATTTTATATGCATATTCAGTATGTCTGAGAATCCGTCAATATCTATTTTTCAGCCCCCTAAATGTTAAGGGTGGTCCACTCTTATTTTTTTTCTTTTTGGTCATTTTTTTTATTTATTTTTTTATGATACATAATACAAAAATACATACAACCCTTAATTTTCACCCTTCTACCACCAACCCCTAATTTTTATGGCGGTACAAAGTTCGCTGGGACAGCTAATTTAATATTTTTTACTAATTTATTGTTCACAGACGGGTCAGACACTTCAGCAGTCGTACGGCGGCGGCGCGTTGGGCGCCTCGTTATCGCCGCCCTACTCCAACCACTCACCTACACACAGCAACCACACTAGCTCACCACATGCCTATATTGGTAAGTATTGCATAATAAACAAATTGATATTTTCAGGACGATTAAAATGCGATCTTCAAAAGTTCCTGATAATCGAATAAACGTCTATTTACACAACTGTACCCTTATCACGAACCAACATCGAATTCGTAACGTTTGCGAGTCCGAAATGTCCTTGTCGAATGTGTACCGATTTTTAGTTCTCGTTACGTACTTTGTGGCGCTGCTGTTCAAGTTTCCATACAAAATTTGACATTGACATTTCGCATTAGCAAACTATTCGAATTCGATAATGGTTCGTGCTAAGGGTACTGAAGTAAAATCATAGAGCAACACGGGCGCAATTCTTATTGTTATGCTACGGCCACGTTATCGCGCGAATTCATGTACCGTTATCGCGATGAAACTTCGACATCGGTATAATACAAAACATCGTGATAATTTAAAAGTAAAGGTTTTTTCTTTCATTAACTATAGTTTTTGGGGTATGGCTCTTGGGGGTTCTATGATCTCTCTGCTAGCCAACAGCATTTTTTTTGGGTGTGTATGCTGTTGTTGGCAGATGACCTTTACAGCGTCACCGGGTTTGGGGACGGCGAGATCCTAAGGGGACCTCAAGCCGAGAATTGGCGAGTCCCTCTAGAGGTATTCCAGGCAGATGGCATCTCCTTACGGAGGAGTCTCCTCTCCCTCTGGAGCCTCTAGACCACTCGAACCTGAGGGGGTTGGCTCAACGAGATGGCATCTCTGAGACTCGGACGCCAACCGCACCAATTTTATCCTTTAAACCCTTTGATTGCACCAATTTACCGACAGTGACGCGAAGCGAAGCTCAAAGAATTGTGAACCTTAAGTGGCAGTGGGCAGGGCACATTGCAAAGAGGACTGACGGCCGCGTACTAGGGGACGTAGCGTTGATAGGCTCTCCACAAGGTGGATTGACGATCTGGTGAAGGTCGCGGGAAGCTGCTGGACGAAGGCAGCGTAAGACCGATCAGTTTGGAATTCCTTGGAGGCGGCCTATGTCCAGCTGTGGGCGTCTCTCAACCAATATGATGATGATGACGACGCTAAGCACTTTTTTATCGCGATAAACTTTCGCGAGACATGTGGCCCTACTCCAAGCTATATAGATCAAACTCATCAGCTCTGTCAGACTTTTAGCGACACCGCAAATATTCACGTTTACGCAATAGTGTGACTCTAGCATAAGTAGGATTAACAACTTCGTTTCTATGAAATATAGTATTTTTTATGATGCTACTTCTAAAAATATAGTAGATAGCAAAAGACTTAATTAAAAAAATTAATATATTTTTGCTGCTGTATGCCTTAATAATTATTTTTTTATTTTTAAGCTTGTGATGATCATCTGTTTTAAGCAAAATATACAATAGTTTCGCTTGCTATATATATTTTTTAATCAGAAATCAATATATCTTCGTTCAAATTGGATGTATAGTACAACTCTTTTGAATCGTCCCAAATTTTTTTCTCTACCACTCGTTATGGACATATTTTTTAGCTGCGGATAGTATTTGATCCCCTAATATATTAGGATATATTATATAGCAGGGTTGGCAACCCTAAGCATAAGTGTATTTTTTCATGGCTTTCCCGTTCAAGATTTTGAATGTAATTTGTTCCCCGTCAGGATCACCGTCGCCGGGCAAGTCGCGGCCATCGTTGCCGACGTCGCCGGCCCACATGGCGGCGTTACGCCATTCACATCACCACTCACACCATCTAGATGCCAACGCTAGTGCCGCCGCCGCCGCCTATTCTGCGCTTGCGCATCTTGGTAACTATACTTGACACTATTATTTATAAATTTATATGATCGCCAACAAAGTTACACTTAGACATTTCTTATTTACACATTTATAGTAAGACACTTTATTAGTGGAAATTTAATTATAGGCGATTACGACATGCAATATACACTTAATTTTGTTATTTAACGAAGTGAAATTGAAAGACTTACGTATGCGATAAGAAGAAGGACTTTATTGGTGGCCGCGCCAGATGGCAGCACTGAGCCGAAAGGTCTACTCGTCCGTCAAACCACATATGTCGTCATAGTACATGGATCGATTTATTTATAATTATTACCCAGTTTGAACATATGGATGATTTGGCCATCTGCAAGAATTATTCCTGTTGGCCAAACTAGTTTGACTACTGTGTAGTTAACCACGAGGAAGAAGCGACAAAATCCACCACTCGTACCACTCAATCTTAACATTAATTCCGATGGTTGGACATATAATAGTGGAGTAGTTTAGATGTTTCTTTGCAATTAAATTAACACGTAATTTACTAAAGTAGACTTTGAAAATTCCATTACAATTCTAATCCCAAGTGCTTATAGAGTACGCTATGCTAGAGGATGTGTGTTACAAACTCATAAGCGTTTTTTTTGTTATTTCATAAAGTTACAAAATAACACAAATTTTTACATTTTATGTTTCGTCCTCAGGTGCTAGCGGTCAGCACAACCCTCAGCTGCAAGCTATGATGACGCACGCGGCTGCGCTCGGACAAGTCCAAGGAGGTCAGCATCCAGCGCTCAATAGTTTAAGTAAGTTTATCTCCTTTTCAAGTTCCCAAGCATAGAACAAATATTAAAAGTTAAAAGGGCTTAGTGGGTATAACAAACACGTCACTCGTCGTTTTAGCCCACTTTTTAATTCTATCTTGTCATTTTTGCCATTAGATCACATATAACATATCAGAGCAGTACAGACCTCAATGCTCCTACTATCGAATTCTTTGCATCCATTTTGGTAAGGTAAGATAAACAGTACCTAATATACTCATTCCATCCTTTGTTTCCAGGTCTGTATGGGAGTTGGGGATTAGGAGAGACATTCCCAACGCCATCCCCCGAATCGCCAGACCATTGGTCCACCCCCTCCCCCCAAACGCCGCTGACACAATCGCCGCACTCTGATTGGTCAGATCGTGCCGCGTTGTCCCCCAACGACATGCAACAAACCAATAAGGGGGCGACTGAAGCAATCTACATATAAATAAAATAAAAAAAATATGTTACTCGTTAAAACCCCGTGATTTGTTGTTTTAAGGGTCAATTCACAATGTTTTGTGACGTTTTCTGTAATGTAAATGGTGTGGCTTAGGCCAATAAAATTGTACAAAGAAATCAAAGGCACCCTGTATATTTGTTAAAGTGTAAAATGCCATTATCGTATTCGGTCTATAGTTATGTGTTATAAGAATTATTTTAGACACACGATATCTGATAGTGAAACGTAAGCATGACGCCGGACGGCTCAAAATGTATTTTATTTTTTAATTACAGTAAATTTTAATAACGTTGCGTGTCTTTTAAAAAGGCTACGTGACGGAAAAACGTCACAAGTGTAATTTTTGAGAAATTTGGCATTTCTGAAGCGAAGGTGTGTGTGATGTCTCGATTTGAAGAAATCTCGAGGTGCTAGTGTGCCGTAGATATAGACTGATTTGTACAGCCATGACTCGTAGTGTATACGTATAGATTAGCGCACTATTGTTGCACTAACCCACAATCTCGACACTTGATAAGACTTACCGGTGTATTTGTAGTGAAAAAATGCATTTTATATGTGAATACATGTATCAGTTTTTGTTTGATTCTGTCTGGTAGTATTTTGTGTATAATATATTGCCTACCGTGTGTTCCAACCTCGAATATGCATGCTATAATGCACGCAATTCATTATTGAATTTGAGTTGAAGACATAATTATATTTTTTTTTGAGAATGACGATATTGTATTTTATAAACTCTATTTTGGAAGTTTAATATAAATACACCGAACACTATTGACACATTGTAATACGCGTATTGTTGTTGTTATATGTTTTTTTTATTAACTTGTTTATATATAACTCAGTGTTTGAATCATTAATCTTAATGGGATTATAGTATTTCGCATTTTGAGATTGTTTTTGTAGTAATTTTGGAGGGAAATTATTTATGTGTGATTCCGTAACGAATAGTTTGTGTAATTTAGTTTTTTCTTCTATTAGACAATACCCAGGTAAAATTACAAATTAATGAACACATTTCAGTTAAAATTCCGTATTGTACATTTCCATTAGCAAAAGAGACATCTCAAAATTTTTATTTTTAGTTTTTTTTTTGTTATAAAGATTTTTATATCGATCGTTTGGAGTTCAGACTCTTGACTAGATATAGACTAAAATACGTTCTGAAGTTGACGTCTTTTTATATGAACTTGGGGGAAACGCAGTTTTTTCTAAGATATAAGCTTATATGAGTTTTTATTTATTTAAAATATTGTTATAGACGTCAACTATGGAAACGATATTCCATTTAGATTATTATTTTTTATTAAAGTTTTAAGTATCTTCCGCTTAACTAAGTCATTCCACGTTGAAGCTTCCAGATACTCGATAAAGAGGCAGTTAATATAGTAATTCAAACATTTATAATAGCTCAAACAAAATTAGTTCCAAGATTTCGACTTAATGTCGTATGTTTGTTAATTGTAATTCTCTCGTTGTTTGAAAGAGATTTATTTGAAATAATATACAGCTCTTAACACATTCCATTATGAATTCCATGAAAACAACCTCTCCTTTTAAAGTTTTCCAAAAAGTACGCGAATCGTGCTTTAAGATCTCATCATTCCATTATTTTGCTTTAGAGGAACCTTCCAAATTTGTATAACATTCTCCTTGGGACCATACTCTGTGCTCAATTGTTTAACTCCACGTTTGTATGATATTATTATTAATATTGATAGTTTAGGAGGAATATTTCTGCTGATGTCGTGTGAAATGCTTACATTATTGTAAATATTATTTTTATCCTTTTTAAATGTAATATTTAAAGGTTCGAAAGAATGATCTTCGTAGAGTTAGCGTTAGTTTGTAAGTTAAATTTCTCTTTCTGTGTCATCGTTAAGTGCCAACGAGCAAATCAAACTTAACATTTGTAATGAAAAGGCCTATACAGTTGTGTCGTTTTTCGACGAAATGCCCTGTCGTTTATATAAAAACATTTATGTAGACTTCAACGCGCGTGATACTATTATTTTAGATGTAGTCAGAGTACAGATGGGTGAAACGTGTGCTTCCTTTAATGCATTCTCGTTGTTAAGTAAATTAAGTAACTGTACCCAATAAAATCCAAATCAATTGGATTAAAGTACAAATGTATATAAATTTGCCTCCGAAATGTCAATTTTTTACTTATATCATTTTTACACGCCAACGACAGACACTCTGTGAAATATTTTTAACAGTAATTCTTATACTTTTCAAACATATTCATACATCGAGGCACATCTTGATCTTTTTGTGTAGTTCAGTATAAATTATGAGAATAGTACTCGTATATTTGATTGCTTATTATAAAGGGCACAAATGTAAGAAACAAATTGAATGATCTTAAATCTCTGCGTGCCTTTAAACTAGTTGTAAGGATAGGGAAAAAAACATTGTAATTTAACTATTTGGCATAATTTAAATGAAATACGCTAGTTAAGTAAACGCCTGTAAATACATTTTATGATGACTATTTTTATGAAATGCATTTCTTTGTAAGATTCTAAAATATGAGGAGAATGAACTTTTTAAATATTTTCCCCCTAACTGACAATAAAGGAATAAAAATATTTTTCGTTGTTTTCTTTCTGTAGTTACTGAAATGTAATTAAATGAAATGAAATGATACTTTATTAAAATTGACTTATTGAAAGCTCTTTTTAATCGTCCAATATATTTTTCTACCACCCATTCAGGATATCTTTTAGCTGATGAGAAAAATGGACGCAAGAAAATCATCGGCATTTAACACCTTTATCACCACATTTACCGACCGTCACACCAAACCAATACACCAGTGTGACGGTGGGTAAGCGTCGATTTCCATTCCAGTGTCACCGTTGGGAATAAATTTAATAATCAAATAAATAATTAATAAGTATTTTACATACTAGAAAGTTACTAGCAAACCAGTGAACCAAATGTTCACCAAAACCTGATTTAAAAAACGTATGTATTATCTATCTCTTATCGTTTCCAAGATATAGAAATCAAGTGATTTCTCGAAAACCGGAAGTGCTACGTTACTCAAATCCGGTTTATAGTCTTATCAGACTATTCTTAACTTATAACTTAAATATTCTCTTTATCTATCTCTTACGGTTTGGCCGCTGAAACAGCACCACAGACAGACGGACTTGTCTAATAGATAAGAGATAGTTGAACTTTAAGGCAAATTAAAAAAAAATATCTTTCTGAGATTTGATTTTAGTTTCCTTTTTTTACCTGCGATATCGACATGAAGCTGGATTTTATTATTGTTATCTACGTAATCGCCATTTTGTTATCAAGAAAAGGACAACAATACAGCTTGGCCGTGCGGACTCACCGTTTCGCTCGCGGACACCGTTTCGCTCGCGCTGCGTTGAAGCGTACAGTTCTGTTTCGCTTGCTCGACTGGATGTTTATTTACAGACGTGTTCGTGCGTGAGAGTTGCAAGTCGGAGCATATTTTATTTGATGCATAGTATGAGCGTACCGTATCATCCTTTTTTGTTTTAATCTAAGTCCAAAGGAGACTGCTTATTTCCATGCATTCCCGACCATCACACCATCATCACACACATGTTATGGTGGGTAAAAAAATCCTCACCATTTCACTGTTATGTGTCGGTTTGGTGTTCTGTAGGTGTGACTGTTCCCGACGCACCTACTTCGAATCTTTATTCCTTCTGATAAGTAATATAACCTAAAACCACGATCTGCTTTAAATATCGTATTACTAATAGTAAATCAACTTGTTTTTATTTTATTTATCTTTAGTGACGGTAAACTAAATATTTTCTATATATGGGTAAAAAATTGGAAAATATTCCATTCTTTCTTATCAGTATTCTTTAATTCGGTTTGCATTACGGATGGACCAAATGAAAAAATACCCTGACCGCTGCGTCGGTGGGTATATTAATTAAGTTTTTTTTTATAAAACGTGGGTATGATGAATAAAAAATGACAAGAAATGATGAGTTGCTCGATAAAGGCGTGGGCTGAATATTTTGAAATAAATTAAAACTCTAATACCTTATTAGTTCATTTAGGCTCAAGGAAATAATTTATGTGTATGTGAATAGACAATTTAAGTAGATAATGAAAATGTGACGTTATAATTAAACTGTGGCTTAATTTCAACAAGACAGTAAGTATACTAAAATGTTTATATTTATGTAGATTTGTCCAGTTGTATATTAATAGCGATATGCAAACAAAACTAGTCGCAAAGGAGAAATAAGTACAATGCTGATTAGCCTCAGTCCAGAATAATTTGCAAGTCTGGTCTCGCCTCGTAATATACCCTGGGGTAGGCAGAAGACTCGACTTGAGAGAACTTGTAGCCGCAATGAAAGAAGCAGATGAAAAGGCAACGTCACATTTTACTTAAGAAACAAAAGAGACTTATATGTCTGCATAATATCTTCTTTTTTAACCGATTTGATAAAGAAGGAGGTTCTATTTGATTCGACAGTATTTTTGTTGTTGTTGTTCGCGCGTATCTCCGGGGTGATTGTTTGTGACCGATTTTATTAATTATTTTTTTGTTTGAATCAGTTTTGTTTAACGGGATTATCCTGTTCATAACAAGGCTATAAAGCGGGCGTTTGTTTATAAACTTCATTATTATCTTCACTTCAGTTGTTCTGAAAATCCATTGTATCCTAAATCCTATCATAGAAATAGGGTATGGGCTGAGCGACACTCCCATAGAATTGACGAATCTCTAAAAAAAAGCATAATCAATAAACACCTAGGCAGGTATTTGATCTATTGAACTTCCCGATCGCTGCCTCTCTCCAACTTAATTTTCTTTTACTTAAGAGTTGGACAACGATTGCCCAATCTCAGGCTCAGTCTATTGACATTCACTATGTCAATGTATCCTCATACTTTTCTTAATATAAGTTCTGATTATATAAAAGGCAACCATACTGACTGACTGAGATCAATTTGATATCAACACACAGCTCAAACCACTAAACGGATTGTCCTTAAATTTGGCACACATAAATATAGTTATTATGATGTAGGTAGGTGTGCTCCCAGAAAAGATTTTCCAAAACTCACCCCCTAAAGGGTAACACGGGGTTTCAAAGTTTGTATGAAGAACGAAGATCGCGAGGTTAAGTGCGTTTCATCAAATAGTTCCTATACCGTCATGTTGGTTAACAATTTAACAAAGCAATTTGATTGGTTAACAAGTTAACCAGGAGAGATGTCATAAAGTGATTGGTGACGACACGTTGACAGACAGGAATGCCAACATGACGGCATAGGAACTTTTTGATGAAATGCACTATAACTGGGTTCGCTGAAGGAATTATTCTTCCTTTTACGTAACTAATTTCTATGTAGGAATTATTCTTCTTTGTACATGTAACAAAAAAAGCATTTTTTCCACGCAGACGAACACGTGGGAAGTATATTCATAATACATACAAACACTCAAACTGCTGAACCGATTTAGATGTAATTTGGAATAGAGATAGTTAAAATCCCGGAAAAAGACATAGGGTAGTCTTTTATACTAAAAATCATTGGTTCACGGGGTGAAAAGGGTGGAATTCTCTCTGGGAAACCAATTTTTCCAATCAGACGAAGTCGTGATTAGAAATACACTAGTGAGAAATAAATTTCAAATTCCTGTAGTGATCAGTATCCATCCTCGCGGCGATATCAACATCACCTGGTACGCCGCCGCGCTCGCCATGGCCGTAGTGACAGCCACTACCCTGGCGGGGAACTGTGCAGTGCTGGTCGCGTTAAAACGCGTGAGGCGAGCGCCCGCGCACTATCCCCTGGCGAGTCTGGCGGCGGCGGACCTACTAGTTGGCGCGTTCGTCCTACCCATAGCTGCGGCCAGGGAGCTCTTCGTGTTCCATTTGAGTCAGTATCGTAAGTTTTTGTTAAATTTAAATGTAATGCAGTGATGAACTCCTAATAAACGGTAAGGCAGTCATACCACTGATATGCCATTAATGTTAAGAGCCCTTTTACAAAATTGCACCGCTGCCGTACTAATCGGCACGTAGGTAGATTTGCACTATATATTGCATTTTACGGGTGATGTTTCGAGTCTTATAAAATAATTATTAATGAACTAATTATAAAAATATATACATATTTCAGTAGTTCAATGATGGTAGATTAGTTTTATAAAAGTTTTTGATAGTATTTATTCAATATATGTATGTATGTATGTATTTAATTCAATATCAAAATACGACGTAAACCTGCATTATTTTTTGGGAAAACACACAGAGGTTAGATGTTTTTTTGAAAATTAATGAGATGGAAAATCAAACTTCTAATACATTATGTTACAACAAACACATATTTCTGATGTCGTAATAATTAACTTGATCTTATTTATTGAACATTATTGAGAAATTGAGGCGTGTGAAATTGTGCATATTATCGGTTTTTCCGTAAACTAGCTGCGGTAGAACAATCAACCCAAAAAAATGTAAATAGTATTTGCAAATATTCTACATTTACTTACAATAGGAATAATAAATCTACTGTTTACTTCTATTGAAAGTAATCAAAATTCTATTGAAACGAGGCGCTCAAAAATTACAATTTTTTGCAAAAAATATTTTGACTTTCACCGAGGAGAATGGGAAATAATTTATTTTTATAATAGTTGTTCAGTTTTTCAAAGTATCGATGATATTTTTTATACGGTGATGAATTTGAATATGTAGTTGATTGAAGTGATTACTACCAGATTGGGTGATATGCTCCTGCTGGAGCACCCTGGACGTGCTATGCTGCACCGCTTCGATCCTGTCGTTATGCACGCTGGGCTGGGAGCGCTGGTGTGGCATCACGGCTCCATTGTCCCGCGCCCGTCGCGCCCGCCACGCGAGGCTCTACGCCGTCCTCGTGTGGCCAGTGTCGACTGTAGTTGCGATGCCTACCGTGTTCATACCGTCGCCGAAGCATTTCGTGCCAGGGGAAATGCCGAAGGCATGCACCGTGAACACTAATATTGGGTGAGAGAGCTTTTTAAAATGAAACTATTATAAAGCCACAATTTTTTTAGCCACTTAGAGTGGTCGATTGCTCGCTTGCCACTCGGGCGGTCCGGGTTCGATACCCATCCGAGGAAAGACATTTTTATTTTCCACTGTCGCTGAATCATTTCGTGCCACGAGAAATGGTGAAGGCTGGCTTCATGAATACTAATAATTACTGTGCTTTTTGATCGCGCGCCGGTTAACATATTACTTCTTATCGCTAACCCTTAACAAAAATAATATGTATTTATTTTCCCAAAGGAATACAGTATGGATTTCTTCAAAAGCTTATGATTTGAAGTGTGTACTTATTTCGAGGTAATCGTGCGACGTATATGAGACTAAATATAATATTTTCTATTTTCAGTTACGTGTTCTTCAGTACAACGTTTTCGTTCTACTTGCCAGCGAGTGTGATGGTCACACTTTATGCCAGGATCCTGTGTGCACTGGCATCCCCTCCACCCATTAGGGCTCATCGAGGCCGCTCACCAAATAAGGTATCATCAATATCAGCCTATTAATGTCCCCACTGCAGGGAGACAAGCCTTCCCTATGGATTGAATAGGGAGATTGGGTCATGACCCATCACGCGGGCTCAGTGCGGATTGGTGGGTGCTAACGACTGCAGATGCAGCCGGGACCAACGGCTAAACGTGCCTTCCGAAGCACGGAGGACCTCGAGATAGAATATTTTTGTTCACCCATCCAATGACCGGCCACTACGAAAGATGCTTAAATAAATAAGGTATCCGGTCCAAAATTACCGTTACCTACATCCAGTCTTGCCCGCCACGAAGTCTTGCTCGCTACACGGTCTTTCCTGTTACCGGGCAAGTAAAACCTAACTAAGATGTTTTCTGAACGTTATTGAGCCTAAACCTTTATCAAGTCTTGTCTAACAGGCAATCTTGCGTAGCCTCCCTTACTTGCATATGTCAATACGACGTTTTCGCTTTATCTGATGACGGTGGGTGATAGTGACGTTTCAGAGTGTAGCCAAAACCTTTTTTATTGTAGCTTGTTGAAAATAAATTTCGATTCTATTTGTTTTTTAATGAAAATAACAACAAGGTTTGCGTTGCCGTCCAGAGTCTCCTACCGCATCGTCTCATCGTCTTACCATACACGGGCGGCTCTTAATAAAATACAGCATAATCTCAGTGGCTTGCAAACATAATTAAAAATATTAAGCTACAATCCACCCAGTACATTATTAAAAATTTAAGTAACTTCTGTTATTTATGTTTCATGAACCATAAACCTTCTTACAGACTGTCTCAGCTCCGAAAGAAAAAATGACGACAAAGTAAGTAGGTATCAGTCAGTTTTTTGTTTTTCGTTTTCAATTTTCACATTTGACTTTGACTTGTTGCTTTCGTGTACTCCTCTCTCTGTTTGAATGTTTTTGTTACGACTCATTGTAACTTAAAAGTTATTTTCCAGAGATGCGTCATCGTCTGAAGGAGGAAGACATTTGAGTATACCAGGACAGAACGCAGTTAAGAGGGAAGTGTCTATGGTTAAAAAACCCAATATGTCGTAAGTTTTCTACTATTCAGTAGGTATAAACTTCATTTTTTTTACATAGGTCCGGGTAGATAGTACTCCACTACACCTGATGTTAAGTGACGGCGAAGTCTAGACGCGAAGGTAACTGGGGGCCAATCGCCTAACGGAAATGCTTTGGAAAACGCTAACGCTTACGATTTTATTTTGTTATTTCCTGCCGCCTGAGGTATTCAAATGCCTCGCGCTCTTTCTTTTTCTTTTGCATTGGTAATAACAATATTAAAAAAAATGAGCGTGAGGTATTCGAAAACCTCAGGCGGCTAGAAATAACAATATAAAATCGTAAGCGTTAGCGTTTCCCAAAGCATTTTCGTTAGGCGATTGGCCCCCTGATACAGCAGTTCTACCCGCCACACCAGCCATCCTCACTATGCCGGCCTGGCATGGTGAGGCCTCACTTCTTCGCGTTTTTTTAAAAGATCCCAGGTTGTAAGAGGCAGGGAACACGTAAGCGGGCAGAGCATTCCATTTACGGATAGTGCGACAAAGAAATGAGTCACCAAATTTCTATGTACGCGTTGAAATTGTAGCCACAGTTAGTCAGTGGCAACGTAGGCCAGCGCGAGTGGTCCTCTGAAGGAAAGGGGAAGGTGGAATAAGAGAGAATAACTTCTCAGAACACTCGCCGTGGTACAGACTATAGAACGCGCTTAATGACGCCACGTCACGGCGTAATTGAAGAGGCTCGAGGTGTTTAGCTTTTCAAAGTATAGTTCACCTCCTCATCGCCTATGATGCGGATCGTGCGCCGCTGTAACCTATCCAAAGCATCGAGCAAGTACTATATTATATAGTGCTAGCTTAATATAATACAATACTGTTTGCGGTCACATTTCAGAGATGAAATGCTTAATCGTCAACGCAGAGCCACGCGAACTATAGTGATGTTGATGTCCTTATTCTTGTTGTGCTGGACGCCATTCTTTGTGATGTTACCGATTGGTAAGCTTCATAGTGTTTACTCTTATAGCTATGTAGATAAGTATATAAAATTGACCTTATTACCACAAAAAAGTAAGCCATACGAACAACATGAGTTTATGAAAAAAAATACATATTAAATTTGCCTTTACAAGGTTTGAAACCGTTTTCTACTTTTTTGTAGTAAGACCGTATACGTTCGTTCTTTTATTCAAAATTGTTCGTCGTTTTGATTTTTTGCCGTAACTAAAAAGTCTCAATAGAACTCACATCAACAGCGAAGGATATTGCAAGTTGCTAAAATGATTAAATACCACCTATTTAATTATTTTTATTAATTTTTTTACTGCGTCTTCTGTAATAATGGTGTTTGTCTTCCTAGACGGACGCTGGAGAGAAAAATCTGATATATCCTTCCATCCATAGGGAAGGTCTGTGCCCCAGTTTTGGGGACATCAATAGGTTGATGATGCAAGTTAAATGTCATTAAGGACAAGATCTTCACCTGTCCATAATGAAATATAGCTTACTGTCCCGGGCCATGGCTTTCTTGGGTATATACGCCCCAGGGCTATTAAAGCGGGTCTTGGGGGGCTCTTTTTCCCAGCCTCGGCCCGTTCCAGCCCCCGCAAATGGCCTCAGTGGTGGAAAAAAGGTTAAATACGCCCCTATCTATACTACTAAATAAAAAAAAAAATCATCTTCCAGATTCGCTGTGCGAATGCGTACGAGACGTCGGCTGGTTGTGGTGCACCTGGTTGGGCTATACCAACTCAGCGCTCAACCCGCTCGTGTACGCGGCCGCGTCGCCCACTGTGCGGCGAGCTTTACACGCCTCTCTGACTACATCCAGCTCGACGAGGAACACCGATGTGCAGCTGTCGCCAAGTGTGAGAAGACCTTAGAAGTGAGTTTCTTAGATAAATTAAATATACACATCGGCTAGGTATGGTGCACCTGGTTGGGTTACATCAACTCAGTGCTCAACATGCTCGTGTACGCGGCCGCGTCGCCCACTGTGCGGCGAGCTTTACACGCCTCTCTGACTACATCCAGCTCGACGAGGAACACCGTTGTGCAGCTGTCGCTTAGTCTGAGAAGACCTTAGAGTAGGTGAGTTTCTTACGTTCTGGTGTTGATGCTGGCGGGAATCTCTCAACCTAAAATTAAATTTGACAATAGTGTATACCTGTCTTTCTATATACAGAATGAAAAGGAGAGATATATGAAGGATACACTGTTTCTAAAGAAAGAATTACTTACTAGAAACAATTCCACACTGACCAGGCAGCAGATGGGATTGGAACGGGAATGCGAAGAGATGGCGCTGCATTGCAGCCTAAGAAATACTAGAAAGAACGTGACACGGCCATTAGAGCAGGGGAAGGTGCGTTTTTGAGTCCCGTCTGATGCCTGGTTCGTGTGGATTATTCTAGTAAAAGATTTTTAGATTATAATTTTAGGTTTAGAGAGAGAATCATTAAGGAGAGGAGAGGGTCGAGTCAAATCTCAACTAATCTTACGTTAGAGAAAGGGGGGGCCTCGGCAAATATCACGTAATTTTTTTTCTGATTGATACAAAAAAAATGTAGGTACTATTTTGGGTAATTAATCCAGATTGTACATGTTTAAGATTTAATCTTAAGCGTAATCGTAAAACGATTAAGATCATTCACTAAATTCGTTCGAAATATCTCAGCAATATTGATTACTAGTCTTAACTAGTCGTAAAAAAGAACACAAAGCATTTTTTTATTTTTACAATAACAATTCAACGCGTTTACGTAAGACACCCACATTTTGTAAAATCTCACGTGAGATTGGGGTATGGGGGAGGTGGTTGAATAAAATCTCACGACATCTCACCAGGGGAGGGAGGGACAGAAAAATTAAAAAAAAAACACCTCACGTAATTTATGGACTTAAACTTGTCAACTATTTAAAACACCGTTAAATTGGAAGGATGGGTTTGAATTATTTTAAATCACTCAAAGATGCAATAAAATTACTCGTAAATCTGTAATTATGGGATCCGAATAAAATAGCCAAATTCGTTATTAAATAAATATAATTATTTATGTACATAATATTTTCGTGGTTGTGTACACTTCTTTGGTATCATACTACCCATTCACATACTGGTTTCCTTACATACATAAAGTTAATAATAATTTAAATTAGTGAAATAATTGCACTCGGAAAATACTGTATCCACATCTGGGAAGGAAATATGTAATTCATTATATAAAATAACGTTTGTATGTTAAATTTTACAATAGGTAACAACAATTAAGTAACATTATTTACAACTTACGATAAACTTTGAAAACTAACAACCAAGTAACAACTTACTTATCTAAGTGCATATAAAACTATCTAACTTTGATTTTGTTTAGTTAGTTTTGATGTATAACTAAACTAACAAAAATATTATTTTATTTATTGCTATGTAAAAATATTTAAGTAGTTTGTGTTATAAAATCTCATTGTGAACTTGCTTAAAGGTACTGAGCGTTTTCAATTTTTCGCCGCTTCATCAAACAATATGATCTAGTTTTTAGGTGAAATATTATTTCTTATTGTAAAACTGAAAACTTGTAAGTAAAAATTAATTCGAAAAGAAACAGATACTCTTTAAATTTCCGATGAGCCTTTAAATATTTTTCGTTCCGGTCTTCTTTGTAGAATTTTAAAATCAAATATTAAATTCATCGAGTAGGTATCTTTTGAAATTACGTCTAATAAAAATTACTTTTAAATTATTTCTGTGACCTTTGGACTTCCTTTTCTTACTTCAAAAGTTACCTATTTTACAGTATTTCGTTGCTTTATATGTCTGTATTCGATATTATCCATCACTTAACACACCGACAATTTATAACAACAACATTAGATAATTAAGCTTCCAAATCTTGACTTTTTGTCCAACAATAACTAATCTTTCAATATTTGTCTTTCTCGTTCAACAATTTCTAATATTTTCCTTTTCGTCAGTGACTCAAAATGGCGGCGGTTATCGACAAGATGGCGGCGGCGTAAAATGGCGGGCGCGGGAGAGTGTTCGCGCCACCAAAATCTCTGGCGTCCGGCGAACACGTCTTGCAAGTACAACGCCCTGACAGACAGTAGCCTGGTTCGTCCTCTTCCGATACGCACTCCTGTTGAAGAAAGAAAAGATATTTGAGACAAACGTATTCTAGTATTTTTTGAAGTTACTCGGTTGTTAAAATTGGGCTTTGTCAGTACTTATAAAAAATGTAAATAGAAAGTAGCATAAGGAGATATAAGTTTTGAATTTTAGTTAAGAGAAATAAAAAATAAGATGTGACAAATCTAATGTGTTTTTTTTATTAATTTTGCTATAATTTTCTTCTATATTATTATCCTGAATTGGATAATCTTTTTCTGAACTACATTAATATAGTGGTAGTCTCGTCAATGCCATAATATCACTCCTGTCCCTTGAACGGTTCTCTTAACCGTTGCCTTAGTGTCGCCGCTCACGGGCCACACGCCACAGCCACAAACGCCGCCAAGAGAAGCTAGAAGCGGCTACTAAAGTGGCTGAAGCGCGCGACAGCGGCCGACTAGGGTAAGGGAGAGACGGGTGGGAAATCGCGTGAGTGACGTGTGTACGACGTTTTGTATCGGTGCATTAAGTGGCCGGTGCGGGCCACAAGAAGCGAGCAACGACGATTTGTAGCTTGTGGCGGCCACCGGCGTATCGCGTGTGGCGAATCCATATAAAATGTATGAAAACTACATGAAATATGCCTGTGGCGGCATTTTGTGGTTGTGGTCGGTGGCCCGTGTGCGGCGACACTTACTCGGTAGAGCTGCGGTGGTAACATTACTCACTATAGAATAGCTCTACAAAACAGTGTTATAGAGTACTTAGGTGGAAATTACTCTCCCAAAAGTCAAATCCACGAAGATACTGAAATGTAATGAAACTGATTTTATTTTCAGTGATCTTCATAGTGGGAATATTGGTCAAACCACCGTGGTGGTTGGTGAACTTAGCCGATTTCAAATGTGTTATTAATTACATATTTTTAATCAAAGCTATGGGCAGACCCGTCTTTCCCAGTGGGCACTTTTGGCAAGTGCCCAGGCCCTCAGATCAAATAAAAAACCCCTAGTTCCTGTTAAATCACCAAACGGAAGTCATAGGGGCCCCATTATTCTAAGATGCCCAGGGCCTCCAATAGGTCAAAGATGGCACTGGCTATGGGAGCTAGGCGCGGGCTAAATGTTGCCAGTGCTAATAGCTACAAGTACGTAGCGGTACTTCGTCGGGAGTATAGTGGTGACCGTGGGGCGCGCGCGGGCTTGGTGGCGAAGGAGCAGGCGCAGACGAAGACTTGCAGGTGAGGAAGTAAGTAATCATCATCATCAGTCTATTAATGTCCCCACTGCTGGGGCACTGGCCTTCCCTATGGATGGAATAGGGAGATTGGGCCATGATCCACCACGCGGGCCCAGTGCGGATTGGTGGGTGTTAACGACTGCAGATGCAGCCGGGACCAACGGCTTAACGTGCCTTCCGAAGCACGGAGGGGCTCGAGATAGTAAATGTTTGGTCACCCATCCAATGACCGACCACTGCGAAAGTTGCTTAACTTCAACGATCGCAGCGGAACGCGCTAACCACTTGCGCCATCGAGCTCCTCTAAGTAAGTTATATAAGTAGTTATTACGGGGTCACCTCATTACGAGTGCAGTCCGAGCCAGCGGCGTGGGTACAGCCAGTGACAGACATTTAATTTTTATTAAAAGGCAGGATATCTCCGCCTCCCACTCATATCGGTCTCGAGCACGGGAAAATGAGGGAAACCTTATTCGCCACAAAAGATGTGATGACACTAGCATACATATATGAGGAGCTGGCGAACAAAACGGTATTAATTACATAAAATTAAATTTTACAGGAGCTGTATAAAAGTAAATGTGAATGTAAACCTACAGTGAGTTTTTGGCATGATTTTTAATTTATAAATTTTAACACTGTTTTAGGAGGTTTTGATTGAAAATTATTTGAGATTCAAATCAACGGGCCCGAAACCTCCGGACTGTAAAAAAAAGAGCCGTCACGGGACAGGACGGGCAGATATGAAACACTAGCCGGTTTAGATAAATACACTCGGAGAATTGCTTGGGATGCGTGAGGTAAAAATTGGCATAGGTTCTGTCTCGAAGGGAGCCCTACTGATCGGGGAGTAGTTGAGCACTGGTACTCGTATATATTGCATTTTACGGGCGAGCGTCGCCACGCCAAAAATCGGTTTAACGTGCGCCAAAATATGTTTCACGTCAAAAGTAGTTTGACCAGATGCGTAATTATACCGTTTTGTTCGCCAGCTCCTCATATATAGCGCGTCACCTCATCTCGCGTTCCGCCCAGACACGGCGCGGCGCGGGAAGAACGTGCATCCACAGAACCTGCTAGCACACTGCGTGAGGGACACTAGTATATATTTAGCGCGTCTCCTCGTCACGCGCCCCCTCATCCTATCGGCATCCGCGTACGCCCCTCTCCCACCCCACCCGTACAGGCCCCGCAGGCCAAGAAACGTCCTTACGGACCCCCCTAACAAACTCACGCGCGACCTTGAGGCCCTTCTGGTCTCCGAGGACCAGAAGGGCCTAATGGCATAGTAACACGCCTAAGAGCCCCCGCCCCCCCGATCCTAAGAGACCTTCAGTCGTTCAGTCCCAAACCGATACGGATGCACATCAGAGTGCATTCGTCCTCTAACCGCTCTATGCAGTAGTATTTACTAAGGCAGCGCTGCATCACCCCCTTCTCAGGGGTTGATCGCATCAGATGAAGTCTGTAAGGCCCCTAAGGCCATAGGCATCCCCCACGGGTGTGATTTAGTCAGTAAGAGTCTGACATAACCCTACAGCCGGCTGTAGGGTATCCATGAGGATTTCACAACTGCTCCCCCGCCTGGGAGGAAACAAAAAAAAACGTCGCGCGTGCAGTCCTGTCCGGGACGCCGGCGGCGCGAGCGCTGTAAGCGCAGGAGCAGACGCCGCCCAGACACAGCGCGGCGCCCGAAGAACGTGCGTCTGCAGAACCTGCTAGCACACAGCGTGGGGGACACTAGTATATATACAGCGCGTTACCTCGTCACGCGTGCAGTCCTGTCCAGGGCGGCGACGCTGACAGCAGCGCGGCGGTGAGCCGGCGGCGCGGGCACTGCAAGCGCAGGAGCAGACGCCGCCCAGACACAGCGCGGCGCCCGAAGAACGTGCGTCTGCAGAACCTGCTAGCACACTGCGTGAGGGACACTAGTATATATACAGCGCGTTACCTCGTCACGCATGCAGTCCTGTCCAAGGCGGCGACGGTGCCAGCAGCGCGATGGTGAGCCGGCGGCGCGAGCGCTTTAAGCGCAGGAGCGCAGACGCCGCCCAGACACAGCGCGGCGCCCGAAGAACGTGCGTCTGCAGAACCTGCTAGCACATTGCGTGAGGGACACTAGTATGTATATAGCGAGTCACCTCGTCACGCGTGCAGTCCTGTCCAGGGCGGCGACGCTGCCAGCAACGCGGTGGTGAGCCGGCGGCGCGGGCGCTGTAAGCTCAGGTGCCGACGCCGCCCAGACACAGCGCGGCGCCCGAAGAACGTGCGTCTGCAGAACCTGCTAACACACTGCGTGAGGAACACTAGTATGTATATAGCGAGTCACCTCGTCACGTGTGCAGTCCTGTCCAGGGCGGCGACGCTGCCAGCAGCGCGGCGGTGAGCCGGCGGCGCGGGCGCTGTAAGCGCAGGAGCAGACGCCGCCCAGACACAGCGCGGCGCCCGAAGAACGTGCGTCTGCAGAACCTGCTAGCACACTGCGTGAGGGACACTAGAATATATACAGCGCGTTACCTCGTCACGCATGCAGTCCTGTCTAAGGCGGCGACGGTGCCAGCAGCGCGATGGTGAGCCGGCGGCGCGAGCGCTTTAAGCGCAGGAGCAGACGCCGCCCAGACACAGCGCGGCGCCCGAAGAACGTGCGTCTGCAGAACCTGCTAGCACACAGCGTGGGGGACACTAGTATATATACAGCGCGTTACCTCGTCACGCGTGCAGTCCTGTCCAGGGCGGCGACGCTGCCAGCAGCGCGGTGGTGAGCCGGCGGCGCGGGCGCTGTAAGCGCAGGTGCCGACGCCGCCCAGACACAGCGTGGCGCCCGAAGAACGTGCGTCTGCAGAACCTGCTAGCACACTGCGTGAGGGACACTAGTATGTATATAGCGAGTCACCTCGTCACGTGTGCAGTCCTGTCCAGGGCGGCGACGCTGCCAGCAGCGCGGTGGTGAGCCGGCGGCGCGGGCGCTGTAAGCGCAGGTGCCGACGCCGCCCAGACACAGCGTGGCGCCCGAAGAACGTGCGTCTGCAGAACCTGCTAGCACACTGCGTGAGGGACACTAGTATGTATATAGCGAGTCACCTCGTCACGTGTGCAGTCCTGTCCAGGGCGGCGACGCTGCCAGCAGCGCGGTGGTGAGCCGGCGGCGCGGGCGCTGTAAGCGCAGGTGCCGACGCCGCCCAGACACAGCGTGGCGCCCGAAGAACGTGCGTCTGCAGAACCTGCTAGCACACTGCGTGAGGGACACTAGTATGTATATAGCGAGTCACCTCGTCACGTGTGCAGTCCTGTCCAGGGCGGCGACGCTGCCAGCAGCGCGGCGGTGAGCCGGCGGCGCGGGCGCTATAAGCGCAGGAGCAGACGCCGCCCAGACACAGCGCGGCGCCCGAAGAACGTGCGTCTGCAGAACCTGCTAGCCCGCTGCATTGCACGTCAAACTCGCAAGGCTCGTCCAGAGCTTTCACCGCTGCAATAGGTAAAACAACATGACAGGTTATGGCTCGTTAATAGACAAAGCTTGTGTCTCTAATCTTACGAAGGGCTGCAGTCTACTATATACTTTTCTATAAACTAATATATTGCAGTGGGTCAAATAGCCAAAGCTCTACACCGTCTACAGATTTGGAGTATCTCTTTTACATCAACTATATTCTTATTTTCTATACACTCTTACGCTTTAGAACTATTTGCTTTAGATCAGGCGCACTGGAATCATAATTTGTTGACCATCTTTAAAAAAATCTAACCGAACGAATTGAAAAATATCCTAATTTGAAGTCCTTATTATATACGCACATTGCACACATGTATTGGTATCGTTGTGTGCCACCCAGTTCTCTTTACACCGGCAGGTGCCGCGGCACTCCAGCCCCGTGCCGGCGGCGCACTGTAGCTGGTCTTCACACTCCTCGCCAAGGGTAGCATCTCGAACACACCTGGAAAATCATAGATAAAACTAAGCTTATTATCAGGAATCAGAAATCACAACTTCGACTATTGGTAAACGTAAGGTGAAGATGGTTATATACATAAGTAGATTGGTTGGTAGCATAAGTAGGAAGAGGAAATAGATGTGTAATACTTCCTAGCAGGCTCCAGTCTTATACAAAGCAAATTATTTACAGACTAGAATTAAGATAATTATAAAATTATTGATATTGTGATAGTTGCGTTTCCATATATACATTGGAATATATACCATTTAATAATAATAGTAGGCAGGTCTGTCAGATTGTTAAGTTTTAACGTATTTTTGTTCAAATATTGTAAACACGAGGAAACAGACTATGTATATCTTTTTTCGCAAGAAATAAAACGTAAAAAGCTATCTTTTCTTCGCATAATTATGTTTATTCTAATTACTGGAGAACTCAAAAATTTATTCATCTAGTACTATTAAAATATCTGGTAATCTCGGCATAGCTTGAAGTATCGCAATGACCTACCTGGTCCCATTGTCTCTAGGGCTGAACTGTAGCTGGCAAGAACAGTAGCCGCGCACGCAGAACGCCTGTTTCTCCGGGCCTTGCTCACCCAGGTAGCAGTTCTGGTGGACCACGCAGCGTTCTCCGACCACTGAGGAAAGATATAAAAGTCTTAGGTCATATTATGGACAAAAGCTATGAGGGGAGCTAGCTTATATTATAATGTGCTTTTCCTATATTGGAGATCTCTACTACATCGTCATCATCATCCTATTGCAATTTAATATACTCACTGCTGCGACACAAGCTTCAATTAGCCCATGACCCACCACGCGAGCCCAGTGCGTATTGGGGGGGGAAGAAGCAGCTGGGACCAACGACGGCCTAGCGTTTCTTTTAAATTTACTAGATATACAAATTAAATTTTAGTCGACCCATTACTACTCTCGGCGTAAAGGTTTTCAGAACGATTTCTCGTGGATTTGCATAGCAAGATATCGATATGGCTACTCCCTTTCGGGCAGCGAGTCTGTGCTCCTTCGCTTTGATAATTTTATGGTCGCAATAACAAGAAATGTACTCAAGTAAGCAGCATAAGTGGTATTTGTGACAAACTCACCAGCCGTCTCGTAACATCGCTCTTCATCCAAATGCGCAGTGGCGACGCACGCGCATACTCCGTTCGCGCACTCCGAGTGCACTCCCATCGTCGAGTGACACTGGATGTTCTGCACACAATCTTCACCATTCCTGGCCTCTGGAATTTCAACGGTTTTTGTATGAGGTTTGATGCATTTTTTGTTAATAGCAACAGTGCTACCCGCTTGGGTTTTTCTTCCCTAATTCAAGGTGTAACATTTTTTTACACATTCTGCCTATTCTATTTCTATTTACAACATTTTACGGTACTAAAACTACTTTGTTGTCCTGTTTTTTAAATACTTCAAAAAGGGGGAGATTCTCAATTTGTCAGTATAGGTATGTTTTTAATGTTGTTCACGCATATCTTCGAGATTTTTAAATTAGTTTTTTTGGCATGATGGCCTCATATAAATTTGGTGAAGATCTGATGAGTGCTTTCGAAGAAAACAGTGGAACTCCTCAATTACAAAGAGTACTCAATACGTGTTTGGTTATTTTTAAAGATACGAAAGAGAGAATGAGGTCCTGGTAGCAGCAAGTATGTTAGTTGATGTTACACTGGCCAACGATATATTTGATATCGTTGATACTGTCTTATAAAAAGTGGCAAATAGTATGATAAACGTAATTATATTTCCGAAATAAATTGTCTATGTTAGACAAATAGTTCACATTTTTTTAAATAATTTCTTTGGTTTTGTTTATTTGAAAAGAACATAGACAAAAGATGATTATTATAACAGTCTGATATAATTAACTCTATTATAACATAACATGGCTTCTTGCTTATTAGGTTTTTTGTTATCCTTATCTAAACTTTTATAATGCTTAACTCTTATTTATCAAAACCTAAAAATGTTTATGGCACTGAGGTTATTACTTACGTACTAATTTCCTTATCAGGTAGGCTTTGGTGTAAATAATGTGTTGACACTTGTATACTAGGTACTTCGATGTCACATGATAGAGCGAAACTAAAGCAGAGTGACTATGATAATTAGATTATTTAATAAGAGTGTTAGTGGTAATTTTTGTGCCGTTATTTTGTCAAGCAAATCTTTATATGTGACATGATTGTTAAGTACTTCTATGCAGTATCTTCTGGGCACGATAAACAGTATGACTAGAAAATATTTTTTGTCCATGCTGTGCGGAAAGCAAAAGAATTAAATAGTTTGCCTTATTCCAAAACGTGGATTAAAGTTAGTCTTGGTTTAAAACTGATGTTGTTACTTTTTAAAAATAAGACAAAGACGGCATTACGTCCCTTAGACTGCAAGGCGATAATTGCTATTTCTTCTTTCAAATGTTTAATACTTGTAAAGGTATTCATTTGACATTGTGGGTTACAATGCGAAGAGATGCTGCCTTGCAGCCTAAGGCTAGAGAATATTCGACGCGGCCGTCAGTGCCGCGGTAGCATAATGGTCAGTGCATAGCCTGGATAGCGAAGGGTGCGGGTTCGAGTCCCATCTGCTACCTGGTCCGCGTGAAATTATTTCTAGTAAACTGTTCTTTAGATTTAATAAAAAAAAGGCTTTATGACTTAAAAATCTAGCAGGTTAATGCTTGAAAATAAAAATATAACTAAGTAGGTATCTTATAAATATGTTCGTAACAAAATTACTTGTAGACAGTTATCCAACGGATTACGCAATAAACAATAACATCGTTTCGTTCGCCAAATGACTTAGATCTCACCAGGTTAACCGCAAAATGAATTTTTTATGTTCACCAACATTGTAAAAGTGTTGCATTGCATGCAATATTACGTAAATAAATCTCGAGAAAACTTTCCAACAACAAGTCTGATCCATATTTACATTTGTAATAGTTGAATATCGTTAACGCTGTTTGCTGAATATTTTCGAGTTTCTTAAGATTACGAAACCAATGATAACATCGTGATGAGCAAGCAAGCGATATGAGCGAAGCGAAACGGACTTAGATACGCTCATTATGTGACAAGGAATTTAAGCATCCGCTCCGATTGCAATAAAATGGTATTTTTAACCGACTTGGAAAAGGAGGAATTTCTTAATTTGATTATATTTCTTGGATATAAATAAACAAGCGGGTACCAGCGATTTCGTCTCTAGCGTGGAAAATCTGATTTCCCATACCAACTTCCTTCCTCCGTTACAACCCCTAAAAGGATGATTTCTAGGATAAAAACTATTCTGAGTCTTTGCCCTTCATCATCATCATCAGCCTATTAACGTCCCCACTGCTGGGGCATAGGCCTATGGATGGAATAGGGAGATTGGGCCATGACCCACTACGCAGGCCCAGCGCTGATTGGTGGGTGCTAACGACTGCAGATGCAGCCGGGACCAACGGCTTACCGTGCCTTCCGCTGCACGGAGGAGCTCGAGATAGTAATTTTTGGTCACCCATCCAATGACCGACCACTGCGAAAGTTGCTTAATTTCAACGATCGCGGCCGAACGCGCTAACCACTTAAGCCATCGAGCTCCTCTCTTCGCCCTTAACTCAAACTATCTCTGTAGGTACTAAATTTATTCTAAATCGGTTCAGCCTCTTTCATTTTCTTCTTGCCTTGTGCCCTCCTCCGCACTGAAAGCATAGGCGCTCCGGTGCTTTTCCGATGAGCATCGCATGGTGCTATGCCCGCTCCCATACATTTGTAGCAGTATGCAGACCGGGGGCCAAGGACCCTCACAGGTGCACTACACCAGCCAACCAAGGTTGCCAACCGTATGAGAATTCTCGTACATATACGAGATTTAGATTTGTATTATCTGTGTTTACCTACCTTCTAATGTGAGCATAAAAATTCAAATGTTATATTTTAGTCCTTATTTTAATTTTTTGGTAAAATTTAGTATTGGTTTGTTATAATATTGATAAAAATGCACTCGGACATATTTTTTGTTTTGAAATTACCTTCGATGGATTTTAAATTGTGGATATTTTTGTCTCATTTTAATTTTCTCTCTATACAGATTGTTTTAATTAATTTTATACATTGATAGGAACACTGTTTCATATTATACGGGAATGGGCGTTAATTCTGCAACACAGTTTTTGTAAAACTAAAGCAGTTTTAACGATTCATAATTTTATGTACATTGCACTTGTTCCAAATAAAGTTATTATTATTATTATATTATTATATTATTATTTCTGGTCTTCCGAACGAGGTACGAGAATACTACTCATATGTACGAGATTTTGTCAGATAAATTTATAACATGATTTTTCATTGAGGACAACATGTTGGAGCATAAACCGTAAGTATCCAAACAAGTCTCTGTTTATTATAATTTTTATTAATAATAATAATAATATTTTTTTATTTCCTCATACCACAATCTAAATAAGACTTACATGAAGCAATGTTACAATGTAGCAGACTGTGGTGGGCTGATACCTGAACTAAAAAAAATCCTGTATCCCAGGTTATCAACCCTATTGTAAGCCTAGAGGTTTGAAACTAAAAAAAATTACTGGAACAACATTTGTTTACTGTCTATGGTTAGTTGACCCGTTGGACTATAAAGGAGATTGTTCAAATTGGCCTAAATGCACAAAAAATTTTGACATACACGGTAATTCTTGGTGTAATTTATAATTTAATTTACAGTCATTAGATTTCAACGGCCACCTTTGTATAATATATGTACTTTAAAAAGGACTTTTAATTTTACCGGTTTGGAAAACATACGAATCATTTTTAATGGCTATGGGTGTAGTAACATTCAGCCAAAGACTGATCGAAGTTGTTTATATAACATAAAAACAAATCTATTTTGTAGATCGATAAAATAAATCATTTTTTTTATTACACTGTGGTATTCATATCCACAACTATATTATCATTTTCACTAGATGCAAATGTGCTCAGACAATTATTATAGATGGCAGGCGACATCATAAAGTCTATTGCCATACATTTTTCGCCAAACACCTCCATAAACACATTATAATCTGTATATATGTTACACTTTAAGGTATCTATCTATCTATGGGCCTACGTTCCCTGACTATAAATTAATAAATAAATAACATTATAAGGTGTGATACACAAAAAATCTAAAATATGGTCTTTCATCATTTCATCTTAAAACATAACAAAAATAATGAAGCTACTGAATATATGGCTATAGAACCTAAAACTCTTAGCTTTCTTTGGTTAACGAGAGCTTAAAAATTCTCTCTAATCTGTGGCTCATTCACAATCATCACACAGTTTCTGTCACAGAGTACCATATTATAACCGGAAATGACACCTGATTTTAAAAGTTACTCTTATGCATTAACTTTAAAAATAGGCAACTATCTGTTAATCTACATGCTCTATATACCTGAATCTAATCCATAATTTCGGTACTTGGCTTGATTTCCCTAGTTTACTATGTAACTTATTTGTTTTTTATTATTTTAATTTGTTCAGTGTAAATGGTTTATAGAAGTTCTCAGGGGTGTCCGTCAACAATATTCGTTTCTACAGTAATTTATATATAATTTCGAATCTAGGAAACAATTTTTCATAATTATTGGTCTTTAGGCCAAACATGTATGGAAGCTGAGCAATCTCCTTTAATAATTCTAGGGAGGGGAAGGGGAAGTGTAAATAGTGTACGAGATTCGAAAGCCAGATTACGAGATTTGAGCTGCATATGTACGAGAAAAAATCCTGGCAATCCCTGCAGCCAACCTTGATTTTTTACTACCGTTTGCTACCGTTTTGGCAGCACCACTAGGATACTGGTCCTACGCGGCTCCGGTTCTACCAATGTCTGTCTGTCACCTACCTTTTCATACTTATCGTTATGAAAATGTTGCATGTTGCTTAAACTTGTTTTGATGTGTATATAATATTAGTATTGATATGGATTGATACCTTTCAGACATCCCTTGTGAGTAGAGTTGACGGCGGCATACACAAAGCCGTCTTTACACACGCAGTAGCTTCCTTGCCGACAGAACGCGTTGTCAGGACAGTCCATGTCGACGTTACAGACATTGCCGGTGCGGCCTGCAAACAAGACAATGAACTTTATTAAATATATATATATATCCTCGAACTAGTGACGTGTCTTAAAATGATCGATATTTTTATATAACATTAAAAGTTAAAACTTTATGCTCATATTTTAAGAAAATTAGAGAAGACTCCTTATATGATGTACTTCAACGCCCTTCAAGCTTTATTAGAATTATTGTAACACCTGTATATATATATATTAAGCTGCTCGTTGTTTAAATCTAAAGAAAATATTACTAGAAAAAAATCCACGCAGATCTTTCGAGCAGTTACATTCTTAAAAAAAATAAAGATTATAACTATAGTTCCTATTTTTTATGTGTATTTATTGTTATTGTTAATGTATGTCGTCATTAAATGTTTTTCTTTCTTTATTTCTTAGTTGGTGATGGATGGTCCCGGCTGCATCTGCAGTCGTTAGCATCCGCACTGGGCCCACGTGGAGGATCATGGCTCAATCTCCCTATTCCATCTATAGGGTAGGCCTGTGCCCCAGCAGTGGGGACATTAATAGGCTGATGATGATGATGATGAAAAGGTTCACTACCAAAATACACTTTATTACACCTAATTTTATATTTATAATCTATATAAATAAAAATCAATTGTCGTTCGTTAGTCTCGCTTAAACTCGAGAACGGCTGGGCCGATTTAGCTGATTTTGGTTTCAAATGTTTGTTGTAATCCAGGGAAGGTTTAAACGGTGAGAAAATATGGGAAAAATTGCGAGGAAGTTAGTAAAAATACAATTTAATTTTTCCATATAAACTGTTCTATCTATATTCTTGTCAAATATTTGACGTTCGTCGTTTATCATTTCTTCCAAATTATTGTAAGCAGTACGAAGTACGCTGGGTCAGCTAGTCTATATATATAAAACTCAAAGGTGACTGACTGACTGACATAGTGATCTATCAACGCACAGCCCAAACCACTGGACGGATCGGGCTGAAATTAGGCATGCAGGTAGATGTTATGCAATAGGCATCCGCTAAGAAAGGATTTTGATCAATTCTACCCCCAAGGGGATAAAATAGGGAATGAAAGTTTGTATGAAACTTTGTCAATTTTAAACCGATGGGGCTGAGACTTTGCATGCAGGTATAAGAAGAATCATAGATGAATGTCATTGTGTATAATACAAGCCTGACAACAAAAACTGTAGTCTATACTTCAGCTCTACACCGAAGCGAAGCGAGGGCGGATCGCTAGTTATACATAAAATTCTTTAAAACGTAATCTCACCAATAACTATATAGGTTAAAAGTGGTTAATTTTCTTCGTCAATAACAACTAAATAACAAATTTCATAATCACAAAGGCATCTTCGTTCCCAAATAAGTACTAGTATGAGTCCATTGTCGCGCCCGTGGTACAAAATACTTGCCATTAAATTCGGCGACAAAAGCTAAATTGCGCAATTTGAGAAATCCGAGACTTATACGCGATGAATGAAGCGTATTACACGCCGCATTTAGGCGATATTCTAAATGTGTGTCTTTATTGTGCTGTGAATTATCTATTTGAATATCAATGGGCGTGTGATAATCAGCTATTTTACCTTACTACTGTGTTAGAAGAAAGAAAACCGTAGGAATAGGTATGGTAATATTATCACCAGTTTTCATACAGTAACAATAGGGAATACATTGAATTGTGTTTTCGTTCGCTCTGTTAGGTCCTAATTTTTGCTGAAAATGCGGCTCGCCCGTGATACCCCGAGGTTAAGAGATAAGTTTTCAAAAGATGCGAAATTTGAAGGGCTTTAAGCAGATGTAAAAAATATTCTGAAAATGACAAAAACATTTTTGGAAATATAAAAAAAACACTTATTTCGACCGAAAAATCGCGTGTTTCCACAGAAAATTTTCGATATCTCGAGAACGGGGTCGAAATTCAAAAATATGAAAAAATTGCACCTCGGTATTGAACCAAGGAACATTTTAGGTCATTACACTTTTGTCAATATTGGTGACGGTTGAGGCTGTACAGGTGCCCTTAGCCACGAGTTTTGCGCGGCACGAGATGTGATATCACGAGGACGTATGAGAGCTCGAAAGACGCGGAATTCAAAGATCTTTAAGATGATGTAAAAATATTTAGGAAATTTTGGTCTCGAAAAAAAAATTTTGGTTGTGAAAAAAAAATATGATTTATTATTTTTTTAATAGTCAATAATAGATAAATTCATTTTCAACGCCCTTTCAAGTCGTGTAGAGCACGAGATCTGTGATTTTTTTTTAATATTAGGCATCATTTTGTAATTGACATCTCCATTATACAGCAAAAAAAATCTACGTCGAAAATATACTATAAAATGTAATAATAGCCACTTTGCACGGGCAGTTTAAACGCGCGCTTTTTTCGAACGTTTGGATGTGACGTCACGAATGTTACGATACATCAAAACCAACAAGATCAATGACCTTGCAAAGTACCGACATTTTGCGTTCCACACTTTAACTGCGGTTGGAAGTCGGAACCTACGTCAATCAAATATATATTATGTTTTTTTATATATTATCTTAAGTAAAAAATTTAATGGTGCCAATTCTGGCGTGATTCTCTAAACTTAAATCTAAATTTAACATCAGTCTCTCCTTTTCATTCTGTATAGAGAATAACAAGGATACACTGTTGTCAAATTTAAGTTTAGGTTTAGAGAATCATGTCAGAATTGATACCAATGTCTTAGTAAATTTGCATTCGTTGTTTATCATACCACTCGCACTATAATCTGTGAACATCACATTTATTATATTTTGACGTCACAACCGCTCTTGACGCGTTTAAAAATATTTTAATTTCCCACAAGTTTTTTCTCATTCATATCATTAGTTTCTTGCTCGAAAAGAAATTTTACTAACAAATATTGATGGAGGGACCACTTAAAAGTAATAGTGGTTATATCAAAACAAAATGCGGCTTAAATTGAATTACTCATTAAATAAAACTAGTTTTAACGGGTTAATGCACGATCTTTATTTTTTTATTGACGTTTTGCAGCCTTTTCAGGCATTATTCTGACGATGCAGACCTGAAAAGGCTGCGAAACGTCAATAAATAAATAAAGTTCGTGCATTAACCCGTTAAAACTAGTTTTATTACATGCATATTCCCTATCGGTGCTATCAAAGTCAAAAATTCTTTATTTAAATTGATGGCTTGATTATATCACTTTTGAAGAGCCCAAAAATTTCCCTGTAACCAAGTACTAGAACTAATTCACATTATGTTAGTCATCTGTAGATAATGGTAGCCTCTCACCACAAGGCGTGCATGGCAGAATACTATTTAAAATTATTATAAGTAATGGAATTTTACACTGCACTAAGTGTCCCCAGATGGGAAAAAGAAAATATTTACATTAAAGTATTGACCATGAACCAAGTCATTGAATGCCACACATGGCTAACTAGTGTTAGGGGCACTTGCACCTTAAATTTTTTAATTTAAATTAAAGAAATTTAATCTTGTATAACACATTTCCTAATAGTTTAATGTAAAATAGAGATAGAACTAGCAAACCAGTGAACCAAATGTTCACCAAAAAACAAAATGTATTTAATTAATTGAGAACTTCGGAGATTTTCTGTGGTTTCGTTTGGAATAGAAATCACGTGATTTCTCGAAAACCGGAAGTGCTACGTTACTCAAATACGGTTTGTAGTCTTATCAGACTATTCTTAACTTATAACTTAAACATTCTCTTTATCTATCTCTTACGGTTTGGCCGCTGAAACAGCACCACGGACGGACGGACGGACTTGTCTATTAGATAAGAGATGAGCGTAAACATGATTAGCCTTTTAATCGATTTAACAATCTTTTTTTTATATATTTATAGACGTATATATTTAGATAGGTCCGGCATATGACTCCACCCCACCTGATGTTAAGTGATGGTGAAGTCCAGACGTGAAGATAGCTGGTAGAGCAGTTCTACCTGCCTCACACTTTGATATAAATGGGTCTTATTAGGAGCGAACCATTCGAGTAAAGACAAGAAAGTTGTCCTTAATTAGGTACTTAACTCTTTATTGACAACAATTGTAGTTGTCATAAGCCTCTAGGATTTGTTATTAGCTGTAGAAACAAGGAGACCTACACAAAAAAACTCAAACAAACATTCAATGAATACTTTTTTCATCTGCTGTAAGTTCAGAAAGTACTTAAAACTTTGTTTGGTATTGCGGGTCATCTACAATGCAAAAAATGCGGTGCCTTGCAGCTAAAGAAAGGCTAGGGAAAGCGACACGGCCGTCAGGGCCCCGGTAGCATAATGGTCAGTGCATTCGCCCGGATACCGAAGGAAAGGGTTCGAGTCCCGTCTGCTGCCTAGTCTGCGTGAATTTTTTTCGAGTAAAATTTTATTAAGAGGGAAATATCCTGTTGTCGAGCGTTTGCGGTACCGGCGCCGCGCCGTACTGTAGCCGCACTGCGCGTTTTGTATGAAAAAAAAAGGATCGTCCGTACGCTGTACGACAAACGCACCGCTTCGGCACGCAACGCATAAGTTGAAAGAGCCCTAACTATTTCTCCAAAGAACTATGATCCCATGAGCATATAAATGTTTCGGTTGCTGGGTATTTCTTTGTAGCAAACAAACAAATTACAGCCTGCTTATAAAATATGTGGAGTTATGGGACACAAATAATTACTTAAATTAATAATGAATACACCAACTATGTCGACCTCCGTGGAGTGTTTTGTACGCCGGGTTTCATGGTGTCGCCGACTCGAGAGGTCCCGGGTTCGAATCACGGTGGGGGTAGATGTTTGTGTGATGAATACTACCATTTGTACTCCCATCACGGTTATTTAATATATATATATCTATATAAATATACGTATATACGTACACAGTATATGTATTCTATCCGTTACCCTAGTATCTCATAACACAAGCCTGCAGTGCTTACTTTGGGGCTAGGCTAATTGGTGCGAGTGTTGAAAATATTTATTTATTTATTATTTAACTATCATAAAAA